TTATTGAATATCGTTCTTCCTCCCCGGTCCTTTCTAGAGATCTCGGTGAAAGTCAAACGAAGAATAGAAACTTAAGTATATGGCACTGTCAATTCAGGGGTCAAGTTTAATACGAAGCCAAAGATACACAGGATCGTGTGTATCAGTAAATCAGTAAGAGATTATGTACTCTGACTGGATTTTTTTATCTTTACATCTTTTGAGCCAAAAAATTCAGCAAGATTGGGCTCAATTGAAAGGATTGGGGAGTCGGCAAAGTAGGGCCAATTGAGATCTTTCAAATAGGAAACGTCCTCTTTTTGAACAAGGGAAATTCTCTTTTTAAGCAAATTTACTGTCCGTAAAAAAGAAGGCGAGACCCCCTGGCTGTGCGTTTAAAGGAACCGAACACTGGACGTCGCATGATTTTCGTCCCCTTGGAAGGACATCGATTTCTCCCTGCCCGGCACCGGCAACTGTACCATTATCGTACGGTGTGCATCGTGGATGACCCACATCGGTAATCGGATTTGAATTATTTAGAATCCGGGATCCCAGCCCGTTCCACCAGGATAAGAAGCCTCATAATGCATTTTATAAATGTTCTGGTATTCCTGGAAAATAAAAATTTACATTTATTAAATAAGGCGCGCTTTAAGGACATAAAAAGCTCTATCAACAGGCAAATGTCGTATTTTTGAAATTGTTGAAATAAACAGTACAACCCCGTTACTCGTTTATTTTAATTGAAATGTGTTTTAGTCACAGCGTTATGACATGTCGTTTCTCTACAACCTGGTCTGCCTTGTCGCTGGTTTGATGTGTCAAATCGCCTTTTTCAGTAGTGGGTTTTTATGAGTATACTTATTTTATTAAGGTTTTACTCTTATAAATGCTTGGAAATAGTTCGCCATGGTTATATAGTTTACTGAAGATGGGTTATAGTTTAGTGTGGTTGAGATAGAAGTAACTACCAATGGTTAATAATTGTCTCGCCTGGGGTGCAAGGGGATAGTTCTTTTCTTTATGGGTGACTAAAGAAAGAATCCATCCTAAAAATGCTAAGATGATCGGCATCGATCAGATTACAAAATTAATTTATTTTGGCCGTTTCTTGTCATCCTGGTCTGCTTAGTCCCGCTGGATTAGTGTGTCACATCGCCTTCTTGAGTGGTGGGTTTTTAAGGATGAGGACACTAATACAATTACGGGTTGGTCATTGATGGTTGGAAATGGATATCCTGGAGTGGTTAGGAATAGTGTGAATTGATAGATTAGGTTGGCAATGAATATATCGTTTAACTTGGAAAGTTAGGTTATAGTTATGTAGGGTTATGAAAATTAAAGATGGTTATAAATGGCTTGACCATGTGTTCCTGGACATGAATTATTAGAGTCTGTTGTACAAAGACATCTTGGCGTAGTTAGGAATAATAATAAGGCAATAGGTCCGTATGGTTATTTACCATAACAAGGATAGTTATGCATATGAACGTTAAAATTAGAGGCTTGACGACCATGTGTTCTTGGTCATGAATTATCATAAATGGTTGTACATTTGGTTACTGACATCTGAGAAAACATCTACATATGGATACAACGATGATCCCATTTGAAGATTATGCAATGAGGAGGAAGAAACAACCACCTATATCATCTTCGAATGCGTAGCAACACCACCCAACCAAAAAACAAGAAGTATATTCACCAAACATAAGAAAAATTCATATGTGTAGAAGGCAAGCTATTCAGATTAAATACTAAAGGCAAAGATCCTTGCACAGGCCCAAAGGTTAGGTCTGTTAAGGACGCCCAAAGCGTACCGTACACCATCAAATGACAATCTCTATGTTATTGCCAAAGCTCCGCCCATCGATCTGCACCGCATTTTGGTACGACCTGCGGAAGAAAAAAGGGGCCAACTGTCGGAAATGATCAAGAGACGCTCAACTCCATCATGAAAGCTGACCAGTCGTCAGCCAAAGCCAAGATAGAAAAATGGATCCTTGACCAATGGCAGAATCGATGGTCCCGCAGAGCAAAGGGCAGAACCAATTTTGAGTGCTTCCCAACAATACAAGTGCGAATGTCATCCTTGTGGATTAAGCCCAACTTTTGGCTCTTCCAGTTCCCGAGTGGCCACGGAAATTTCAGGCCATACTTGCACAGATTCCGCCTGTGCATCCTTTCCAGTTTGCGTAAGGTGCGATGCGAATCAGGACATGGAACATGTCTTATTCCACTGTGCACAGTAACCCACAGAGCCGCTGAAAAAAAAATTCTTCCCAAGTTGGCCATCAAAAAAACAGAGTTTTGTGATAGATAAAGAAACCTACAAAATATTCCAAGGGTTGTAATTGACATAGCATCGAGCAAGAAGCGTAGTAAAGCCAGAGTGAGGGAAAAAACTGTGATATGTATTTAGATTGTTAAAAACTATAGGGAAATTGGGTTGTTTCTCTCATTTAGCTCAATGTTGATTTAAAATTTGTCAGTTTCAAGTATGCGTATATGTACCATGTGTAAATTTGTATGTATGATAATCAGGTCACAGAATACATATTCTGTAATATACACACACATGTGAGAGAGGGGGGAGGGCCCATTTAGTTATTTAAATTCAAAGCTCGTTTTTAAGTCCCTTTCACAATTACTCAGCAATCGGCTTGGAAACAGGAGTGCAGATTAGTCCCCATATCCCTTGCGCAATTTTGAATTAAGTTTAGAGTATGACGGGTCTGCCCGGCGGGGAAAGAGGAGGGTTTGAAAAAAAAATGCAGACCATAGGATATCGGAATCGACGGAACTTGGTTAATCATCCCTCAGATCAAAAATCTCACCGTTTAATTGAAGAGATTCGCCAATTTTCAATCGTGATATGAATGCTTGAATTCATTTTAAGTCCGCTTGTACTAAACCAGCATTGGAGGAGAAGTAAAAAAATTGAAATAACCTTGCAATTGCTAGTGATTTTCTATAACGGAGTCTCGTTTTTAGAAACGATGGGATCTTGCTTGACTCGGCATAATCCCCCGACCATCTTTCAAAACTCCCCGATGATGAAAATAGGTTAATTGTAATCATTAGTACAAATAAACGGTCGAGCGGTTGAACGAAATCGGGGTAAAAATCGCTGGAGTGAAAGAACTCCTTTTGCCCGGGACGGACGGGATTTTCTCCCGGGACAATAGAAGAAAAAACGCCAGGTCGATCCTCTGAAAACCAGGAGAGAGAGGAGGCTTATGCAAGCGCACGTGCGGAAGCCAGGTTGGCTTCGTGAAAAGAGGCGACACGATTTTTCACTACTTCATCTTTAGCTAAACTCGTAAAAATTGGAAAGCATATAGAGACCATAGATGTTGTTGTTGTCGGGAGGACGGGCGTACGTGCCCTGAAACGCTATCACGCAATGCCTTCTCCTTTTCTGCCTCTGACCCCTCCACAATCGATACAGAATATCGTCTTTATTGAACATTGTTTACTTTTCTGTAGTTTAGAGTTGCTGTTTTTTCATACGCGGCTTGCTCTTTTTAAAACATCGCCACGTCAGCAGAATTCGGCTCTATTGGCAATCGTTACTATCTGAAATAGCTTTGTTTTGACGTCAAAACAGCTTGTTTAGTTTTAACTCGAGAAGCCTGAAGTTTAGTTTTGCTCTGGAGACTGTTACTACGAACCATAGAATGGGGTGAAAGTTTGACATTTCCACAAGTTATTTTTACAAGTAAGACGGGGGACAACTATTCCAGGTTCGTAACCCATTGACTCTCTTAGTTTTCTGACCCCTTTAAAACTTTCCTTTTCGCGTGTACCGTTACCCGAGCCTACTCGTGGATCCACCTGGTCCGGGACAAACCGGAAAGTTAGAACGAGTTCCGGCCGAATCGGAACGCGAACCTTGACATATTCCTCGTGGATGAATGTCGACCGGGGATAATTATTTTTTCTGATTTTTCATTCTGGTTCGAACCCACAGACCGACCACCAAGCGCAAAAGCGACTGATTAAAAACCGAGGTGAAGTTTTCCTTTGCTCCCCCCCCCCGCCTTGTGATCGCCTTGCTGGAATTAGCAACGATCCTTCTCGTTCCTCTCTTTGTTGTTGCCGAACCGAGGAATTTCTCTTTGGGGCCGAAATGAAAAAAAGGGGAAAATTCACCCTCGACGGATCCCTTTGGAAACATTTCAAAACCAATCGGCGCTTAATTGTTTTTCAGTTTTCCTTTTTGATTACAGATTACATTCCCAAGCCATTAAACTTGAACATTTTATAAAAATACAAAGCACATTGAGATATAGCTCAATGTAATGAAATGCATTTGTGCATTTGTCACCTTGAACGTTCACAGTCTTCCCGGTCCGCCTGCTCATGCTTTGTTTCGATTATACTAATCAACCGATAAAGTTGTAACACCTGTCCTCCATTTTTCTGTTCATTGATATTTTTACCGTATTAAACCTTATTGTGTCTGCCTAATATGCACCTTAGGCAGACCGTCATAAATAAAACACGAGGAAAAACGTCTGGCAAACGAAAAAAGCGAGCATAGGTGGACCAAATTAATCGCCAACGTCCGAGCTATCCCTGCCCTACAGAACTCAAGAATAAATCTCAAAATTTATTAATTTCTGTTGAAATTAACCTCTGATATCAAATACCATGCGTTTCACAATCATTGGCTCTTGCTGCATATATAGAAAAATAAATTAGCTTTGTAATTAATTGACAATATTGTCTATATTATTGAAGAACTAAATTGTCTATATTACTGATTAAATAATGAACATTGCACTTTAGACTTACTTGCTTTGGTTATCATTAGGTCAACTAAAATGGTTTTTGTAATTAATTTTCCCATTATATTGGAGAAAATGGGAAAGCTTCCCTGGAAACTTACACCATTTCAAAGTAAGTGACTTTGCCGAAAAGGTGATAAGCTGTAAAGTCCCTCCCCCCGCATTCTATCGCCAATTTTGTTTCAATATACACTGTGTTAATTTATTTTCTTTTTGTTCCCACAGAATTTCTTCTCCAAGAGGTCTTTCAGAGCGAACCCGCTGAAGAGGACGAAAAGCGTGACGAAGCTCGAAAGGAAGCGGGCTCTCGATTCCGACGGGTAATTAACAATATTATTTAATTAATTCTCACTTTAATGAGTTAAACGAATTAAACGACTACGGGTCTAACGTATTCGCCCGGTCTTGCGTTATTAGAGATGTTATAATTGAAATTACTTAGATTTACTGGTTTTGACGTGTAGCGATAAAAAGCTATAGATTTTTCATTTTTTCTGAAGATGCTTAAGAACAGGTTGAATGAAATTGGATACAGTTGCAACCTGATCCATTGCTAATCGCCAGTATCTGGCCAATTTAACATCAAATATATATGATAATATGACACAAGTTTTTGTACTTACTGATTTTTAATCAGAAGTATATTTTGCACTTAGTGTTAACATGAAAATAAAAGAATTATATAGTCATATTAATTGGGCAAAATTAAAATGTATAATATATCCTTTTCTAGAGTCCTGAAGTTGGTAAAATAAAGTTCGACAACTACGTGAAGATTTAAAAATAAAAATGTTTTATTTGACCACATCCCTGATAACAACCATGAGAACATTAAGCAAATCAAACCAGCTGAAAGAAGCTTTACAGAAAAACCAACAAAGAAGATATCGACTATTCGAAGATTTATTTACAAAATCCAATTTTAAACACAAATGGAAGATTTTATCTGTTTTATGTCCCTCAACCTTTAAAACGGAAAAATATTGTTGTAAGATAATCAATGGAGGATTGCCTAAGACATAATTAAAAATATTAAGGGTGGTTACTTTTTTCCCGCTTAGTGTAGTTTTAGAACATGTCTTTTGTGCTTCACATATAGTAGCTCGAGATTTTCTGATACCTTCTTTTCATGGAGTTAATAGATTTTTGAATTGTAATGGTTAAGACGGACATCACCCGGTCCTTCGAGTCTCATACTTTTTTGTCGTCCCGTGCGAATGTTCCCCGTGTCAATCTTCCATCCTTAGAGTTTTCTCGCCAGTTTGATCCTTTGTATCCGTAACTATCCATTTTCTATTATAGCGGTGCCTTCTGCCCACTGAGTGCCGATCCTGGACAATGGGCGTAGGCCGCCGCGTCGCGATTTCCCAACCCGGGACTCTTTTGTCTCCAGATCTCAGCGTAACGACATTAAATTAAGTATAACGGGCCTTTAAAATCGTCGGCTGTGAATGACGTGAAACGACGCCTCGCCGGAACGGAGCGCGACAGCCGGCTGGACCGTGACGGGAAACGACCGTCGACATGGGCCGAGAGATTGCGGAAAAAAAAGGAAACGGAAGAATAAAATAAGAACAACAAATAATACAGCAAAAAAGAGGGGATGAGCGCTTCCACGAGATCGGAGATTAAAACGAACGAAAAGATTAAAGAAAGCCCCCCCCCAGGCTAACATTATTTATAAAACATGTACATGGAGAAAATGAGACCGACTAACCGAGTAAGCCCACTTTTTATTCGTTCCAAAAGCATTTGTACAACATTGGAACATAAGTATCATCTAGAAAACCTGGATTTATTTTACACATTGATATGTTCTTGAAGAGGAAATACTTATTTTCTTAACTGTCCGAGGTAGCCTATTTTCTTGCATCGGAGGCATTCTCCACATCCCAAAGACTTCCAGTTATCTCATTATCATACCTTTAGATTACAAGGGAATCAAAATTCTGATTCTTTAGGACATACTCTAATCTTAATCTTCATGGCCTGGAATATTTCTGCTTTTGATATTTAAAAGTAGAGTAATAGTCATATAGGAGGGCTTAACGTCCAACTACCCGTCGGTATCCACGAAATTCAAGGTAAATAAAGCTGTTTTGGCCGTCCTATGTCAAAACTTGATCTTCATGGCACAGGACTTCATTTTGTTTTCTTCTCGATACTTGGTATAGGACATATTTATTACCTCTCGAGAAATGGCCGTGGTAACCAATCTTCCTGCATTTTATGGTTATTATCTAAATCGACTTTAACCTGCTCCCTGGTGGATCCTAGGTGTTGGAAGACACAGGACATTCTTCACATCTCAAAGACGTCCAATTGTCCCATTGTCACATCTTAAGAATGCACGAAAAACAAGTTTTGACTCTTTTGGCCGGAGATGTACTTGGAAAAACTCGCAGACCAGCTGCTGAAGATAAAAATTGCTGGATTTTTTGATCTGATGGTCTCAGATCATCCTAGTCGGACTACTCGTACCGTATTGGTCCTCGGCCAAAAATTGACACTCGTGGCAAAGAATTTTTTTTTTTTGCCATCCTCTCTCAATATTGTGTTTCTCTGTTGAAAAAGGACTTCATTTTGGTGTTCTTCTCGGTACTTAGTGTAGAAGTGCCAGAGGGAGCCTACCTTCCTGCATCTCCGGTAGACCCCAGGGTATTCGAAGTATTTTGGAATCTCAAAAGATTCCAATTACCCTCACCTTTGGGTGTACTTCTAGTATTCTAAGATCGTGGCATAGGTACCTTCTCCCGAGAAGAGGCCGAGGTAGCCAACTTTCCATATTTATGCCTGTTGCTAGCTTTCGATCAACGACTTCTCCCCGGAGGACCTTTGCCAAACGAAGTTTTAGACCGTCTTATGTCGAAGGGATGAAGTCTCTGATGAAGGACCTCATTTCGTTGAAAACAGTACGGGCTATTTTTATCTTGGGTTTTATCTCGGGCTCCCGGTCCAGGTGGATTAATTCTAGACGTGGCAGTTGTTCAAAATCAATGAAAACACATTGTTGTTTTTTTTCCAGAACGTTAATGTAAATTCCGAGTCGGTAGCCAAATATGAGCTGTGAGTTAATGAACGGCTTTGCGATAAGAGGCTGAAACAATGGACGGCTTGGGCAATCATTCATTTTTGTGGGTGTGAAAACAACAGTTCCTTGGGTTGTCGACTGTGACAATACCGTCCGAAGAAGGCCTGGCAAAGTCCTGTTCGTACATCCGGGCATCCGACCTGGCAAGTTTACCCGAGATGGTTTCGAACTGTCGAACCGCTCACGTGGCAACTCCTCTGACAGGTTGACGTGAATTGTATTCGAGCAGAACCCATAATTGCGCGGCTTTCACGCTTTCCACGTGCCTCCTCTTTTTTTGAAAAATCACCCGAGGAGCTTTCCTTGCATCGACAGTGAACTGTGCCGACGTTCCTCACCATAGCATTCGCGAATTTCGAACAAATTCCAGATGAACCACTCGATGAATCGGTTAAATTAATGATATTTTTTTTTAAATCCTTTTTCGATAACTTCCAATCGTATCCAATAGTAACAAACCAAGTAATGAAATAGAAGCAACATTAAAACTGCAAACAAAATGACAAAAACAACAGCAAAAAATAAACCGTGAGATTTTTTCTTGAGCCCTACTGGTTCATGAGCTTAGAAGTTTAAAGATACTCATGGTCCGCTTATACTCGCTGTTTCATCCATTTTGCCATGTATAAAAAGGTGTACACAGAAAACCCCACAGACCAACCATTGAAGATGAAAATGAATTCATCATCCTGGCTCGACTAGATTTGCCGTATTGGTCTTGCCAGGCGCGTTTTGCACGTTTCACTATCTATAAAGTGATAGATAATAATCTATCTATAATCTAAAAGAAGAAAAACACAGACACTAAAGATGGCGAAAACAAATAATTTACATCATTACTGTATTACAGAAGGTTTAAGTGCACAGAAAAATTGCAACTCCAGGCAAGAAAATAATACTTGAAATTTTTCCTGTGGTCTGCCGGGTCATGAAACTGTAATGTTCATTTCCGGTCGTCCTAGTCTGCATATCTGGATAGACTCGTTCATTCAGTCTGTCAGACGCGTAATAGCATTTCACCATCTTCAATGTTAGGCCCTTTTCACAGATATCAAAACACCCTTGTGACAGACTAAAACCAGGATAATCAGAAACGTTAAAAAAATAATAATAATAAATAATCATTGTGCAGGCTCTCTTAAAACGTGAAATTCCTAAAGATCCATCTGAAGTTTTTACAAAATTATGGTCTTTTCTGGGCCAATGGAATACCTCTGAAGGCCAAATTCCTACTGAAATATTGGCGGCTCAAAAACGGGTGGATCATGGGAGCTGGAGTCCTCTGAAAGTATCCTAATATGTTACAGTTTTCCAGTTTGAAATCATAGCAATTTAACACTTTGCCAGATAAATAAAAAGGCTAGGGACACAATCCAAGAAGATAGCCATTTTCTCTGACAGTCAGGTGGCACTTAAGGCAAAAAGTGTATAGAATTATAAAGAAGCACTGGCAGAAAAAAAAAAAAACTACACTGAAGAAGACGCAGCATGACCCTACACTAAGTAGCTGCTGGGAAAGCTATGTAGGTTGATTAACCTGAAGCTGGTCAATGAGTTTTTTTAAAAAAGATGGTCAAACCTGATGTCCATTGCAAGGACTGCCTTAAGATGACTAAAGGCGATTGGTCTCTGTGTCCCAATAGGCAGCCACTATTTAAAATATAAATCAGATTTTTTTGGGGGGTGGGGGCTTTTTGGTGAATCCTTTCTTGTTTCACACGGCCGGTTGACGTCAAACCGGCCATTTCACGGTGGTAACTCGTTAAGACGGCTCATGCTCCACTGCTTTCAGGGTTGTGAGGGGGCTGAGGACTTCGAGATCTCACGAGAGCCTACTCTCAGGGCAGAGCGCCATGCAGAACCTGGACCTGAGCTCAGGAGGCGTCGAGATCAAGCCTCTGCACCGTTCCGTCCTCGGGAGGGAGCACTGCTTCCAGGTCACCCTGCCAGCTGGAGAGCCGAGGTACTTCTCCTGCAGGACTGCTGAAGAACGAGATAAATGGGTTCACAGGTGAGAACCATAGAAAATATTTAACTAAAATGTACACTCAGTTTGTTTTTTAAATTTTTGAAGTGAGGTATAAATTGTTTTGAGACCTACAAAGTGTGATGAACATACAGCTCCATCCTGATATACTCTTTTTTCTGGTTTCGGCTGTCGATCAGGTCCAAAACTATGTCATCTATAATAAAAGGACAAACTTACAGAGAAATGCACCAACCTACCACTAAAGATAGCAAATTTTTACCCACCTTGATAGGCAAAACCAGCAAGATTCAATATTTCAGGATGATCCAAGATATCAAGCTTGGATGAATAACCTTATTACACAAACAATTTTGTGAGGACTATTTATAAAACAGCAATTACAATTCTACACAACTAAATTATAAAATCTGTATGAATGCTGATACTTGTATGTCATTCAAATCACTTTTGATAGGAACATCAATAATGTTTGATCAGTTGAAGTCAATTAATATTATGTACGCATTTAATTTTCAGTTTGAGAAAATCGGCTCAGCCTGACCAGGAACACCAAAGAAGAACAGACAATTCGCTTAAGATTTGGATACTTGAAGCCAAAGGAATAGCAAACAAAAAAAGGTAGACTAGACAATTGGATAATTTTTAAATATAAATTTATTTATTTAATTTATTGCCTTTTAGGTATTTTTGTGAATTATGTCTGGACAAGACGCTTTATGCAAGGACATCGGGAAAACAGAAGGGAGACCTGTGCTTCTGGGGAGAGCACTTCGACTTTCTCAATCTACCTACGGTCAATGTAATCAATATCAACTTGTACAGGGAGGCCGACAGGAAGAAGAAGAGAGAAAAGAACGTGCTGATAGGTTAGTGTAGATAGTATTTACCATGTGATTGTATAACTAATTTATCATTGTTTACAGGGAGCGTGAGCATTCCTGTTCATGAAGTGACATCCCGCTACCTCATGGAAAAATGGTACCCGGTCATCAGTGAGAAGCCGATGAAAGAGACTCCGGCTCTCAGGGTGAAATGCAGGTTCCAAACAGTCGATATTCTTCCTGTACAAGTCTACCAGGAATTTTTGCAGGTACATAAATTGCAATTAGCCTTGATGGAATTGTTTCTTTACAAATTTTTTATTTTAGTACCTGAAAACTGATTATAAATCAATATGCGAGATCCTTGAACCTGTTATCGGTGTTAAAGCGAAAGAAGACATAGCAACTGCTTTAGTCCACATAATGCAAAAAGAAGGTTTAGCTAAGGAATTTCTTTCAGACATCGTCATGATGGATATCGACAGAATCGGTAAGTATTTTGAATGAATTTAGGCTTCTTTTTTTTAATCACATTATTTTAATTGCAGAGGATGAAAGATTAACCTTTCGAGGGAATTCCTTAGCTACAAAGGCAATGGAAGCTTATTTGAAATTGACAGGTGAACGATACCTCCACAATACGCTCGGTGAGCTCGTGACCAATGTACTGAGCTCAGGAGTGGACTGTGAAGTCGATCCACTGAAAGTTGGCTCAGCCCCACAGCTTGCGAAACAGCAAGCCAACTTGAGAAATACTGTCGAAACGACCTGGGCGAGGATCCTAGCCTCCCACACCAATTTTCCTTTGTAAGTGTTGACAAAATGAAATCATCTTACAAATCGTTGCTGACTTTTTTTACGTTCTTTTATAGAGAATTGAGGGAATGTTTCTGTCTTATGAGAGAAAGATTGACGTCTTCTGGAAAACAGGAAATAAGCGACAATTTGATCTCTGCTTGTATATTCTTAAGATTCCTATGTCCAGCTATATTATCACCTAGTCTATTCAACATAACTCATGGTATGTTTTCTATTATTTCTCTTTAATTATAAACAAATTTTTTTTTAAATTAATTTATGCGTTTATTTTTTAGAATACCCTAATGAGAAAGCAGCAAGAAACTTGACCCTTGTTGCAAAGACACTCCAGACCCTGGCAAACTTTACAAAATTCCAGGGGAAGGAAAACTTCATGGAGTTTATGAATGACTTCTTGGAGCGTGAAGCTCCTTCAATGAAAGATTTTCTCAACATTATTTCTGTGAGTGCCAACATAAACACACAATACAACATAGAAACCCTTATTGATTTGAATTTTATTTCAGAGTCATTTAAGCAAAGAACTTTACCCTGGGCAAACCTCTGATTTTGATGGCTACATTGACCTCGGCAAGCAGCTCTCGATCCTGCATGCACTTTTACAAGAGTGTGTTTCGAAAGTAGCTGCAGCCAGGCTCGGCGATGTGCAACACCTCCACTGCATTTTGGAAAGGGTGAGGACAGCTTTGAACCAACCCGCGACCGCCGGGGGGCTCCTAAGGCAGATTTCGGCCCCGCAAACTCTCGTGAGTAACGGGCTCGAACAGGCCAACTATCAGTCGCTTCAGAGGAACATATTCAGGTTCAACGACCCAACTGTCTGTATGAACAATCCTTCACTGACCCATCACTATGCGAATGAGGGTAAATCTCCGGTCGTTGGGAGAGCGTCGACTTTGCCAAGAAATGCTTATCTGCCCTCTGCGGCACTCTCGACATCACAAGAAGAAGGCACAACCTCCTTCAATACACCTGCTAAACATCACCATCACCACCATCATCATATTGCCGTATGTTCTATTCTTATACTTATATTTTTTAATTTAAATTTTCTTATATATTAGTTTAAAATGCTTTCTTGTTTAATTTATAGAGAGGGAATACACCTAGGATTCCCGGCCTCAATAATGGCCATATAGATGATCTGTCCGACTGTGAATTAGATGCCCAGCATAAAGGAAGTCAAGTTTCCATTTCCACTCTCTCTAATGTGGCTTCATCTGGGTATGATTAATTTTCATAATTATATTCTCTCAATACTAAGCAGACAATTGTTATAATGTTTTTATTCTTCCAGTTATCAGAGCTTTGCTGCTTACAGTCAAAGTTCAAGTCCTGTAGATCTGACTACGCCATCTAATAGTAACAACAACAATAACAATAACACATCTGGTACTCAGAATGCCGTGAATGGAACTTCAAACAGTTCAGCCCCACCTCTCGCATTTAACAACCCTGTCTACCAACAACAAATTAGAAGTCCTAGAAGGGTATGTAATTCAATTTGAAATCAATCTTACTATTCTGTTTAGAATATGGTTATAATGAGTTCATTGTTTAGGTTCAAAGAAGATCAAGTTCTTCGTCAAGTTCAGACGGACAGCCGGAGGTGGTCGCCAATGATGAGGTGATAACCGCAAGCAGGCCAGCACCGAGGCTGCCGAGGACAAATCCTTCAGCTCCTCCTCCGAGGTCGCACGTCTGGCGATCGAACGCAAGCCATGCCACCCACATTCAAATTGGGCATCACCCAGCTGGCGCAAACCGAATCTTTGCAAACAACAATTCACAACTAGGTAACAGCACGAGACGATGCAAAAGTGATGTGTTGGCTAATAGAGGGAGATTGGCTGACTTGGGGTTGTTGTCAGGTGGCAGTGGAGCCCAGGGGCAGCAAGTGGAGCCGAGGAGGATGTCCCTTGATTCGACAAGGGACTTGACCGATAGTTCCGATGAAGAAACTTGTCAGGAAGCAAGGAGACACAAAAGAAACGATCAAGTCATGAGAAAAGTAATTTTTCTTTGTTTATTTTTTAAATCATATTTACTGTATTTGGAATTAAGGAGGAATTATTAAAAAAACATTTATTATAGGTTCTATATGAAAAATACTGTAAATTGTATTTGATGTGTTTTATAGTATGAACGTGAAATTGAACGACTTCAAACAAGCGTAGAAATTTTGAAAATGAAACTTGAGCAAGCGGATTTAGAGAACGAAGGCAGTCCGACTGTTCCACCACCGAGGGACGAACCAGATAACATGAAAGGAATAATAGCGAGGTATTTCTAGACCCAATTGATCTGTTAAAACAGCAAATTCCAGTTTATAAATAATGAAACATTTTTTTTTTCAGGCTGATCGCTGTCGAAGAGGAGTTGAGGAGAGAACAGAGAAAAATGTCCGATACTCTCACTTACAAGCAGAGAGTGATCGAGGCGCAAGAACACCAAATCGCTGTTCTGGACGCGACCAATAGCCGCCTTCTGGCAGCTCTGAGTCGCTATCAAACGCCGAATAACAACAATAACAACCAGCAGCAACGAGTGCTGACAAATCTGAGCGAGCTTCAGAGCTCGTCTTGTTAAGTTTCAAAGACCAAAGATCATGATTCTCTCCCTCCCATTTCAGAGGAAAGCCCAAAAAGATAATGTAATTTTTAGACACCCTAGACTGAACACAATCTATGCCTTTATTTCGCCTAGAGAGCTTACAACATTTATAGAAAAAAATACATCATTTAACTGACCTGTTTCCCTCAATTTCCCCAGTATTATCAAATATGTGTGACTAGGTGTGATAATAGATGATTAGAGGTATTTATTGATTTTAAAAAAATTGTAGAGATAGGCCAGATTGCACAGCTTTTATTGTACAGATGACAACATTTTTAATTCACCTTACAACCTCATGAATTTAAACTTTTAAAAATAATAACTCTGTAATGTTTTAATTTTCCTCAATATGTAAATAGGAATTGTAGCGAAAGTACAATTAAAAATTTGTTTTTACCCATTCTGTATATATTTTTATTTCGCTGTCTTTTTGATTGTATATTGTTGTGTTCAAAGTATTTGTTTCCGGGTAAATTGTTTTTTTGTTTTGTTTTTTAAATATCGTTTCAAAAACCTTACCCAATTATATTAATTATAATTGTATATATTTATTATTAAATAAAAACTTTATATCTGTACATTTATAAAAACTTATTTTGCACATTAGTTGTAATAATACCAAATGTAAAGACCACATAAAGGTAAAAAAATACATTTTTTGTTAGGAAACACACTAAAACATCTCTCAAAATCAGCCTACTTTTCATCTCACCATGTTTATATTTTTTTATTATTTAACGAATCATCAACATTCATTTACTCTCCCCAGTATTCAGTTTTGACAAAAATCATCTTGTGAAAAAACATTTGTTTCTCCTGTTTTATTTCAAATAGTTAATATACTTTTAAAATAAACCGATGAGGACTTAACCTGGTCTTTTGAATAATGAAAACCTGTTCATTTTTGTTGTCCTCCTTTCTTCAATTATGGATTATGTGTATTAAATTATTTTCCTTAGGCCATTTCTTTTAGAAAACTGGTAATTAGATCAAAAATGAGATTTCATTTATATTGCGGCGTTTCGGTACCGAGCGTCATGAAATGCACTTTATTTCTATAACTAAACTTTAAATTGAAATTATTGCTGTTTTATTTATTGTAAATTAAAATCCTTAAATTCGCTTAAATTTATATAAAAACAAACAGAAAAGTGGGTTTCTTACCTACTATAATTAGGTAGAGAGTGCTGAATCCCGCCTTCAAAAAAACTGGCTAAGTAAAATAATCGAATGCAAATTGTCAAAGATTTTTATTTTATTTTTTTAAATCCAAAAGCGTAAAAACCAAAGATTAGTGTGTTATTAAAGCTAAAATAAATTTTGTTATTTAATTAAGTACAAAGTTATCTCTTTGCACCTTTATTTTTAAGAATAACAAAAAAATGCCATAATTGCAGCTTCCCATTTTTTCCCTCATTCTCCTTTTTTTCTTAACTTAGGTTTTTTGTATTTTAAACTATTTAACATTTAATTCTAATTAGTTATATTTTATAATCGGACGATTGTTTTTCAATAAATAAGAGAAAAATTAACTTCCTTTTTAATGTATTAAATTATTATTATCCTCATTGTATTATTATATACTGTAAACTTAAGCAATCCAAAGCACCTGGTCTTTGCATGAAGATACAAGATTTTGTTTGTTTGATGTTTGTCATGTGAATAAATAAAAGCCAATTATAAGTAAATAAAAATGTTTCAAAATCTCCTTTCTTTCCTTCTATCTCTAAAAATTTCTTAAAAATATATCAATCAATATTTACATCTTACCTGTATCTAATTAAAAATAATCTAATTACAATGCACAGCATTATAAATATTTTTTTTTGTAATATTTGTACAAATATGAGTTTTATGAAGTTAACAGTATCAATTAATTATTATTTTTATCTAAGGTCTTTGATCAAGATGAAAACAGTGTCACAAGCGGGACTGGCTTAATACTCTACTGCTCTCACCACTTGAGCTATTGTGGCTTCGATCTACTCGGACAACTCTTCATCTCAACCCACATCTTTTCGAATTTCTCGTATTTTTGCCATTTTTAACCAAAGGTCATAGGTTTGAATCCTGCTCGTGACACTAACTTTTTCATCTAGACCAAGACGTTAAATAAAAAGAATAATTAATTGAAATAATTAATATAGTCAATTATGGCCGCTAAATATGTGTGGGTTGATAGTATAATTGATTAATAATTTTTATGTAAAGTGTGGTTGAGATGAAAAATTAGTGTCACAAGGCGCAGGATTCGCACCCAAGACCTTTGGCTCGATACGCCAGTGCTCTAACCACATGATCTATCATGACTTACATCCCTTGCTTTACCTCAAAATTATAAATCAATTTAAATTATCTCTTTGATTAAATAGGACCAACTGAAATACATATATATAATTAATATGATAATTACTGAAGTACTTACATTTCGCTAAGAGCTCCCCGTGGCCACTTCATAAGTCATCGAGAATCAAATTCGATTACACAATATTTGAATATATGACAAAAACAGGGAAACAATGCATTCCATTTCAAAGTATAAGTTGGCCATTTAGACATTAACTTATTTTTTTAATTTAAAAGCGTTAGTTACCAAATATTGTGCAATCTTACTTCTACAAGTCTGCCTCCTGCTTCCCTGATCAACCACTAACCAAAATGCCGGAAACATGTTGACAGGCCAATCAGCCAGATAGATAAAAGTTAACAGAAAAATAATACTCCGTTAATGCCGTTTTATTGGTATTTATAAACGAAAAAATAATCAATAGTTGTTATTATTAGTCAAATATCACTTTGTAAAACGATATTGTGTTTTAAACGAGAGAAACATGGGGGGCCCCCCACCAAAAATTTAAACCAAGTTTTTACAAAATCGAAACGAAAAATTCAATTCAATAATATTCCAAATTTTATCGAAAATAATTTAATTTTTAATCCAAAGAAATAATTATATTTTTATAACGTATTTTGCATTTTTTATTAAATTCAAAAAGTTGTTGTGGTAGCATTGATTGATCTCCTAGCGGTTAAAATTGCCAACTGTAGGAACGGGCCTTCCTTCATTCTTGTTCCTTCAGATCTTTCCGGTTAACAACGTGTTTCGTTTGTCGACATGGGTGAGTTTCTTATTAATATTTTTGTTTATTAATAATTATAATAATTGCCTTGTATTAAAAGATAATAATGTTTAAAAGAATGTGTTTTGTTGGAACGGTAAAATCGCGTATTTTATAAAATATGTTAACGTGTACTTGCCTAACCTATTTAGACTCCTCGTGTGCGTGTTCGTCGATTTCTACATTATATTTATGTATTTGCAATTAATTAATAATTTGTTATGTTGAATTATAAAAATTAGTTAAAAGTAGTATGACACATATCGCCATAAAATTTGACGTTATGATCTTGAATTATTTACTTGTACTTGCGGTATGAGCATATTTTTTTAAACAACAATGAAATTATTTTTATTTATTTCATTTTTTTCAATTAGGTAAACCTCGTGGTATTAGGACAGCTAGGAAGCATGTAAACCACCGAAGGGACCAAAGGTGGGCTGACAAAGATTACAAAAAAGCCCATCTTGGTACCAGGTGGAAGGCCAACCCTTTCGGAGGTGCTTCCCACGCCAAAGGAATCGTTTTGGAAAAAGTGTAAGTAATTTTTTCTTTTGTCTCGGATGCCGTGGATTGTTATTTTGCTCTGTGCTTACAGTGGTGTTGAAGCCAAGCAGCCCAACTCTGCCATCAGAAAGTGCGTCAGGGTTCAGCTGATCAAGAACGGAAAAAAGATAACCGCCTTCGTACCGCGGGATGGTTGCTTGAACTTCATTGAAGAAAATGACGAAGTTTTGGTTGCGGGTTTTGGTAGGAAGGGTCACGCCGTTGGTGATATCCCTGGTGAGTATCATAATGTCAATGTCATCCATTAAAACAGTAAAATTTAAAAAAAAAGTAAATTTAACAAGTTTTGTATTTTATTTGAATCACGGTGGAAGTCAAATTTCTTGGCTTTAGTGCAAACATGTTACGAGTAAAAATGCCAATTACCGGGTCCGTTGAAAAGTTTCATTTTTTAAATTAAATCTAGTTTCTTTGGGTTTCAAAAATAAATTTATTAGTAAGTAAAATTGTAAACAGTTTAAATCTATTCAGCATAGGATATCAATACAGGCATGCCCACCCTAGCCAGCGCATAATATTACTATGAACTCGATCTGCACATTTGTAAATTGTGTAAACGATGTTATCTTGTTTATTTAAAAAAAAAAAAATCATTTGTCGATTCCACCCTGAAATGCTTAGGAAAATATGCTAAATAAGTTAGTCAATATTTTGGCAACATTGGTTTAATGATGAAATCTGTAGAACCAACTCTGAAACTTGAGTGATGAACAATCAAAATACGAGCTTTTTAACTCTGAAAACCAATGCCAAAATGTAAATTAGCATAAAAAATTAAATAGAATCCTTATTTCCTTTGTACATGATAAATAGTATTCTTGATTTTCCCCCATTGGAAATAAGGCCTCTCTAAAAGTTGATTTTACAGAGTTGTCACTTAACCGCTTTCCCTATTTAATTAACAACTACTTTTCCTCCTCTAGTCCTTTTTTGTTATAATTTTCCTTCTACCGCCATCATCTTTTTTTCTTTTGATAGCATAAAAAATGCAGTACATCATATGAGATATAAGGTACATTTGTAGTTTCAGTTGGATTTAGTGTATTGAATTGGTTTGATGATGATAAGAATTCACCAACTCTGAAACTTGGGTGTTGAAAGAAAAATGAGCTTTTTAACTCTGAAAACCAATTTTAATATGCATTGTTTCTGTTACAACAATATAACCTATAACATACATAATGGACAGTAAAGAAATAATAAAATTTTAACTATTGTTACCACCTAATTTTCACTCATTGTTCAAAAAGCATGATATACGTAATTAAGATTATATTACTCTTTATTGGTTGATATTGAATGTTTTACACTAAATTAACTTAAAAATAAATTACTTGTTTTTCTAAAGATTTAATCGTGGCATTTAAGTTGAGATATTTTAATTTTATACAAGTTTTTCCTCCCATTTCTCCCTTTCTTCCTTCCGAGTAGTATTAATTTATAATCGTGTGATGAAATTGCGTCTTATGTTGTGTAGTTTTAAGGAAGAAATCTGTAGAACCAACTTTGAAACTTTTTTTTAATTTATTTATTTTTTTTTATTGGCCTTATGATCTTGCATATTAGCCATAGTACGAATTCTTGTGTGTTCAAATTGGGGGTTATCGGGAAAAAAAGGGCCAGAGGCGACGGTGGGAATCGAACCCACGACCGCGGCGTGAGAGTCTCTCATGCTAACCACTCAGCTACCGCAGTCCCCTAAAACTTTGAAACTTCCAACATTATGAAATTTTTCCATTAATGCAACCACACAAACGATAAATTATTTAGTACAATTATGATTAATTACTCTTTCTTTATTGGTTAAAAGAGAAATTTAACCAACCTTTATGGTTATACCTTAAAAAAACTATTTTCGTACATTTAATCACAGTGAGCGTTATTAGATTGAATTTTAATTTTATTCCTTCCTCTCTCCCTCCACCTCCCCCTTCTGAATTGCATTAATTTTTAGTTGATAGAAGTGCAGCTTAAGCTTATGACCTCTGCTGTTGTGAGCCCTCGTGAAAAAATGAAACAAAAACATTGGTTTAATGATGAAATCTGTAGAACCAACTCTGAAACTTCGGTGTTGAACAATCAAAATACGAGCTTTTTAACTCTGAAAACCAATGTTATGCAAGGTTTCAATTTTTGCAATCTCACAAATAATAAAGAAAATAGTAACCAACTTGCGAGCTTTAAAAAAAATGGTCTTGACGTTTATTCACAATGAGGCCTTATTAGACTCTCTACCTACCTATCTCCATCTCGCTCATCTATCTTTCTTTCTTGTCTCTCTATCTATTTATATATTTTTCCCTTTTTCTTAGTAACATTCATTTATAATTGATAGATATACACCTTAAGTTAAGTATTGGTTTAATGATGAAATCTGTAGAACCAATTCTGAAACTTCAGTGTTGAACATTCAAAATACGAGTTTTTTAACTCTGAAAACCAACTTATAAGCTTTAAAAGATTGACATTTAATCACAATGAGGCCTTATTAGACTCTTATCTATCTACCTACCTACCTACCGATCTATCTCAGTCTTTTCTCCTTCTTAGTAATATTAATTTATAATTGATAGGCATACATCTTAAGCATTGGTTTAATGATGAAATCTGTAGAACCAACTCTGAAACTTCAGTGTTGAACATACAAAATACGAGCTTTTTAACTCTGAAAACTAATGCTTTCATGTATTTTTCATATGTGTAGAGATTAGTGACCGTTAATCGATAATATTCAGATATCATGAGACTACCAGACAGCATCTCTCAATATCTGAATAAGTATTTTTCATAGTTGAAATTTCCTCTTAACCAGGACCAAGATAAGTGTTCACATGCTGTTAAGTTTTTGTTTTATCGGTTGATCAATTGGCTTTTCTAATTGACTCAAATTAAGAATATTTAAAGTTGTCAGATTCAATCAATTTAATCTAGCAATGAAAATAACATTTTTTGGGTAGAAGAACAACTGATTTTAAGCATTGGTTTAATGATGAAATCTGTAGAACCAACTCTGAAACTTGTGTTGAATAATCAAAATACGAGCTTTTTAACTCTGAAAACCAATATTCACTTGTAAAGGTTTTTCTTATTTTAATTTTTTCATTTCATTTTATTTTTTTTAATGAAGGGCAGTCTATTCTCAGATTATGTTTAGCATCAATCCAGATTTGAAGCCTTAAATGCTCATCATCAGGTTGAAGATTACAAACACTTCTCTCAATGTGAATTGTAGGAGCCAATTCACGTTGAGAGACTGTAATCTTCAGCCTAATGATAAGCATTTAATGTTCAAAATATGGATTGCTGCTAAAAACTATTTATGAGAAGAATCTTCCTTAACTCAAAGTGAATCAATATACTCACCCCGCCTCAATTATTTCTGTACAGTTCCTATCTCAACATAACAAGATGAATTTTTTTTCCATCAACCATGAAAATTATATAGCTCATATTATAGTATAATTTTTTGTCTAATACAAAACCAATGTTAACGACGATTTGGCTTATTTTTTTCAGGTGTCCGTTTCAAAGTGGTCAAAGTAGCTAACGTATCCCTGTTGGCTTTGTACAAAGAGAAGAAAGAGAGGCCAAGATCTTAAATTGGCTTTTTTTATTTTATACTAATTAAAAACTAAATGTACTCTATTTAATTAAAAGTATTGTACATTTTATGCTATTTTTCTGATTTTTTGCCTTATTACCTTCCTTCCCAAGTTGCCCAAAGAATAATACATTTTTTTTCTTTTGCTGTTGTTATTTCTGTACGTTATAATCTATGTTATAACAGGATTATTATAGTAATAGTTTATTTATTCAAATCTATATGTGTATAAAACAGGTGACTGACAGAAGACCAAACCGTTGGATCTAAAGGGTTGAAATTTCGACAGTGCATTCTAATAATGACATGGATAGCAGCTAAGAAAGGATGTTTTGAAATTCCATCCCTAAGGGGATCATAACACAATTTTTTACCAAGTATAGAGCGGAGGTGAACTGAAGATGAAAAAAATTGAAAAACAAAGCAAGAATTCTAGTTGATATTGATCAACCTCCGTAGTTTAAATTGATGTATTATATTAGAAAGCCTTACTAGCACTGCAACACAGAAAGGTACATTAGAACAGTCCCCTGTGGGCAAAGTTGAAGGTAAAAGCTAGTTACTTACAAAAGGACGTACACCAAAATGAACGATATGAACCTGTTAACAAAAGCCGATAGGCAGACAAAAATTATTAGATCACAATATCATTGCAATACTATATTCTTTTGTTGTATTTATGTTATTTTATTGTAGCCTTTCCAATTGGTTTTAACCAACTGATGTCAGATGCCATCCATTTTGAAATAAAATTTAGAAATTCACATTTCTATGTTTACTTTTTAACTATTAATATCATCGTTATTATAATTAAAACGAAATAAGTAAATGCTGTTTCACATAAACAATTCGTTATTTTAACAAAAATGGTGGGGGGCTTGCAATTTTTATTGATTAGGGTTGCACTTCCTGAAATGTTTATATTCTAACTCATAAGTTCATTTATGTGAAATGAATAATATATTTCTATTACAATTTAAATTGTTAAATTGAGTACGTCAGAAATGTTTGTTATTAATTTATTGCAAGAAGGGAAAAAGTTTAAGTTTAGTCGATATTTTTTAAGTTGGCAGCACTTCTTGGCGCGGAAGTGGGAGTCTTCCAGGTTTGAAAAGTGTTTCAGTTTTCTATCTTCAGACGTGTGTGAAAAAAGTTGAATTATTTCTCGCTATGGAGAACGAAATGAAGTCAATTTCGCAGCCGGGCGTGTCGAATACGTTAAGGAGAAGAACGAATTTCGGCCAAACAGTTCATTCCCAGCCGAATTTGGAGAACCCCGAGCCGAGGGCAGAGCCCATCGAGACTATGACCCAAGAAGGGGACATTTTCGACGGCGAGTGTATTGAAGATATGAAAAAATTCGAACCGGACGAATTATTCGAAAAGTACAAAGAGCTAGGAGGTGAGCTTGAAAAGCACCTACGCCAGTTGGAAAGCAAGAATTCTCTCCTCGTCAACGTTTTGGGCCAATGCAACAACGAATGCGAATTGCTGAGACAGCAGAAAGACTTCCAGCAGAAGGCACTAGTCGAGCTTCAGCTCAAGGTCGAACACCTCAGCTCAAAAGAACAAGCTCTTATTCAAGAGTGCTTCGAAGAAAGGGACTTCAAGTAAGTCTTTCACACATATTTAATACAATAATTCTACAAAGTACAAACATCCAAAAAAAAAGGTTGTCTACCTGAGCGCACGGCACTGTGGGGCAAAGGCGACAAAAAATCGATTTCCTAAAAATTGAAATTGTGGTAATCTTGTACACTTTTCTTACAGTATTTGAGCCAGAGAATAACGATGTCATAATGATTTTACAGCTAAAAACAAAACGTATTCTCTGCTAAAACCTGAAAATTGTAAATTTTGTTAGATATACCTGTTACGTACTCGCTAGACCCTTATCTGCTGCAACCCTTCACATTCCTCCCTTATCACATCTGCACGTGTTCACTTCCAAGAAACCCCTCCTTCATTACATCCCCAAGCCTTTGCTAATATTAATATTTTTAATTGAATCCGTCTCGGGCTTTCATCGAGTATAGACCGAAGATTCCCTAATTGGAAGTGGTTATTCCAGTTTTGTATTTGCTTGCTGTTTAATAAATAGTATTCTTTTTTAAAACTAGTTTAATACACGCAAAACCATAATTTACAGCTATTTTCTGACTATTACCCCCATCCAGCCTGTCTATTCTTTCTTCTTTTTTAATTTAAACTTATTTCTATATCATTATCGTTTTTTTTAGGCAAACACATTTTTTTAGCTTTCTGAACAGGTATCCGCCGCGCCACAAACGCATTTCTATATCGCCATTTTTGGTAGATGATGAAAGATGGAATACTTTATTCCAAATACCAATTCAGTAATACGTTTTGTTAATTTGATCGTGGTCCGTCTATTCTCGCTTTTTTCAGCCACATTGTTTTTTTTTTGCTTTACCGGCCAGGCATCCGCCACGCCACAAACGCATTTTTGGAATATCGCCATTTTTGGTAGATGATTAAAGATTGTGTACATTATTCCAAATAAATAAATAATTTAATAAATTTTGTTTTAGTTGTTTTAAAATCAGTATTTTTTTTTTTTTTTTTACTTTAATTGACCGTCTGTAATAATCGTGGTCTATTCTCACTGGGTCCCTGCATTCGACATACAAATGAACTTTTCAAAAACAGACTCCGAGACTTCATATAACCTCGTAGTTAAAAAACTTCGTAAAATATTTATAAAAAAAAAATACAAGTGTCTAGTTTTATTTTGTCTTTGAGTTTATGTTGAATGGCTTCAGCTAGTCCACCACAATCAATAAAAATTAAGCGGATAAAACGTAAATGTACACGTAGTATGTATAACGTTATGTTTCTTTAGGTTGCAGCTCATAAACGAGGAATTTCAAACGGCATTCAACAATAATAACTACATAATGGATACCATTTCGAAAATGAATGACATTCTCAAATCTGACAGAGATGACTTCGACAGGCTACTTACTGCAATTGTCGATGAGTTGAAACTGACAGAAACATCCGGGCGAAACTACATTAAAAAAATGAGAGAACTATTACAAGTCTGTTAGTACTTTAATATATTTTAATATAAGCCTAGGTGTTTTACGTTTGGGGATGGATTTTTTTAGACGAATCTGAAAACACCTCGTTGAACAATTCCATACAAGAGATCGATAAGGAGCTCGAGTTCACGATTGAACTCTTTAAAAATAACAAACAGATCAAGTTAGAAAAGAGAACATCTATTGAACAGAAAAAGAAATCACTGGAAACTATTTCCGACAAAATTACAGAGAATTGTAGAGAAATTGAAGAAGTGAGTATGCCCTGTGCTAATTTATAACAGACAAAACCGAGTCTTTTGTTTTCAGTATAAAAAGAAAATAGTCGAAATGGAGTTGAACGCGAATTATCTCGATCAAAATTACAACGAAAAAAGCGAGGCTAATAGAAATTCATTGAATCAGAAAAGAAATGAGTATTTTACATTATATATTTAAACATACAGTTTAATGTGATACTTATAAAAAGGATCTCTTCAGGTTAGAAATCCTGTGCAATTCTATAGTTGAGAAAAAGCAAATGCTGGTAAGAAACGAAGTTGAATTTGACGATCTCGTTGAAGAGAACAACCGCCTCCTTTCACAAATTGACTTGATCCTTGCCGAAAAGGAAGAGCTTTTGAAAGTAAACAAAACAAAAATGTTCAAAATGCAATGTACTCCCTTTTAATGTTATAACATTCTAGGAAATAGAAGGGACGACAAACATCGTCGGCAAGCTCAAATCGCAACTTGAAACTGAAAGAAGTCAGTGTTGCAAAATGGAAAAGCTTCCAGAGGTGCTTCACGTACTCGACGAACAAGAAGTCTCGATCAAGAGTGAAAAAGACAAAACGATAGAGCTGACGAAAGACAAAATGGCCGGGATTGAAAGGCTTTTGAAGGAGCTGGCACTGGTCGAAGCAGAAGACGCCGACCTTTCTAGTCAAATAACAGAAATCAACAAAAGCAACGCTGAAAAAAAGAGAATCGTTGCTTCCACTGACGAAGAGTTGACTTCGGCCACGTTGGCTTATGAAAATACTAAGTTAGTCCATTCCTTTTGATCTCAATCGGTCGAGTTAGATTTCGACATTTGTTCTTTCCGTTTAGAAACGAAGCGGATCGACTAACGGCTTTGGAAAAAGAATTGAACGATTTGGCCGGCGAATTCGAAGCCGGAAATCAGGCGTTGATGCTTTTAGACAAAGAAATTGAAAGATTCAATAAAGAAATCAATGAAACACAAAAGAAAACGCGTGATATAGATATCGTCATGAATAAACAAAACGAGGTAAGATGTAAATAATTGGGAAATTTTTTCTCGGAGTCGAAGGGATGGTGTGCTTTGGTCTTTTCCGGAAGTCAGTTTGGTCTGCCTATTACAGACATTATTACAGGCATACCAAAATGACCGGAATACGCTCAACGCGCAAATATATACTAAAACGCCAAACATTTTTAGGAAAAGATTAAGAAATCGGAAGAGATGAATATTTGGAATGAAAGTTACGACGTTATACAAGAGATGCTGGAAGATATCGTTGAAAATATCGAAGAGATTTTGAAAACAAAAGAGTCCAGCGGGAAAATCGACGAACTGAAAGCAGAATTGCAAAACGTCGATGAGACGCTACAAGAGCTGCAGGCCCAGAAAGCTCAAAATTTCGTTTCGATAACTAATTCCCACTTGTTCGAAGTCGACGTACGTTTTAAAAACAAAACGGATTGATTTTTTTAATTATTTTAAACTATTTTTACCTTTTAAAGAGGTTGAAGGAGCAAATTAAAAAATTGACCTTGACGACTCAAGCGTATTTGAACAAGAAAGAAGAGTGCCTGAAACGTTATAAAAATGCGGTGCCGACGATTCAAGTTGAGTGCAACACAAACAAAAGAATAGCTGCACAAGCGTTGAATAAACTATCGGAAAAAATGAAAATTGGGGTAAGCGTGTGTAGCAGTTTCTAGGCATAATTATAATGTAAAAAGCGGGAAAAAAAGCGAGAGAGAAAGATGGTGATAGGTAGAGAGAGTGGAGGGGGCGAGGAAGAGGGGGTGTGAGGGAGAGGGAGGTAGGGTGAGAGAGAGGGAGGTAGGGNTAAAATTGTATAAAATAAATCACCAAATAAAAACTTCAAAAAAGTATTATATGGAATCATCCTCGATTTACGAGGCACGTGTGCATTTTTTGATTGTGAATGTTTAAAAAAAAAGGAAAGGAAAGGCGGACAAACTTAATATAATATTTATTTATTGATATGTATCTGTTTAATTAATTAATTTTAGTTAATCATTTAGTATGTTAGTTTTATTAATTAATTTTAACTGTTTGGACACTTAAAGATGGACTGTCTGGAAGAAATGATAGAATTCTACAGACATATACAGGAGAAGACGCATGGCGAGGATACCCGAGCCACAAAATATTTAAGGGTCTGCACAGGCATCAACCAACAGTTGTCGGTAAGCTAGGGTCCCGTTTAAATGGTACTTTTTTTTTCATTAACGTATTTGTTTGTAGAATCCGATGTCCCAAATGTTAAAATACACCGGGTTGAAAAACATCGACTTGAAATCTCCCACTTATAAAACGTACAGACAGGTAATTTTTTAAAAACGTTTTCTTCATTGGGAAAACTTTAGAGGGACGAGTTTGTTTTCAGGTCTTCGACACGTTCAGAGAGAAATTTATAAACCTTTTCACAGATCAGAGCCTTACTTTGAAAGACAAAAAGGACAATGTAAAAAAAACGTCTCTTTCAAAGCGCCTCATGTCAAATTGTAACTTGATTTTATTATTTTGGCAGATCGTCGGAATGGCAGTCAGTATCTATGGAAAGTTACCGAACGTTCCGAGAGTGGAAAGTCCCTGCGAGTCCCTTGTCTCAAGCACAAGCACAATGGTAAAAATAATATAATATCTTTTTCGTAGATTGTTATCATTTTTTTGTTTGTTTTTTAATTCACAGACTCCGTAGAATGTCTTATACAAAGGATCTATGTTGTATGTGTTTCTTTTGTGCATACTTTCTATTTCTCCATGTAGTTTATTTTCATTTTCGTATCTTTCTTAAATATATTGTAATATATTTATTCGAGTGTTACATGAAATCCATTCTGTTTCAGATCTGATTTAAAACGTATTTTCTGTATATAAATAAATTAATTTTTTGGTTGTTTTTTTATTTTTTTGAAAACTGAACGATATTGAAGATTTTAGTCCGCGCCGCTGAGGGTCGCCTTTATCATCGTCCAGGTTATGTTTACATCGTGAACAATGCTGTTTTCCATGGACATACCATGAAGAAGGACCGACTATTTAAAAATTACAATGGTAATATATTAAAAACAATATAATAGTCAGTCAACGTGTTTTTAATTTTTAATTAATTTATAATAAAATCTGTTTTATAAGCTTCTAAATTAAGAACAGTGGTTTCAAGTGCTAATGGCATGCATTAAAATAAAAACCACTATTTAAAAATATTATTATTCATACATTATGTATAGGTGGAAGAACATATTTGGCCAACCTTAAAATGTGAAGTTAAACTGCACAATGAAAGGCGTACACATGAAGCGTTTTCTAACATGCTAATGAATATGCGTTTTACCTGAAAATATTCTCTTTTTTTTCAATTATGACAGAAATGTAACTTTTGACATCCTGATTGATGAAATTTAAAAAAAACCTGATTGTGGAACATGTAGTGTAGCGATTATTATATTTATTCTTATTACTATTATCACTCATGTCCTTCACAGCAATCACAAATTACTATATCTCGTCAACCAATCCGTTCTTCACATTTCAGTGATTTAGAGGTGGTTTTACAGTACAGCATTGCAGCATGATACGGATGTTATGGAGATTTTTAGACTTGTCTAAAGTCTGGAGCTTTTAACTTCTCCAATGTATTTTTAAAAGTTGGATGCCCCCTTGTTCTGAAATGTCACATTATCTGTTTTATAAGGACTTTTTCATCTGGCGGATGGAATCCCCCATAAACTGAGGTCTTGATGAAATATTGCCCTTAATTAAGTGCAAAAAATCGCAATAGTTAATTGACATTCTAAAATAATCAATAGTAATTATCAGTTTTTTTTTTAAACTTATATTGTGGATTACATATGTGCCTTGAATAAAACAAGCACAATTTAAATTTTTTTACTGCTTTGGTATTGGAAATTAGAAGCAGTGGCTATTATTCCACAGAACAGTCTAAATCAGCATTGGATGAAATGATGAAAACTTCATATTCCTAACTTAAAAGCTTTTGCCTCCATAGTCTACAGTGTCCTGTCAGCAAGTCTACAATCTTTCCAATCCTAATGCGTCCTAAATTTAATAATTCTGACATTAATTTCTGCTGATTCGAGTCTATACAAGCCTCCAATCTACAAAGTCCTGAGAGCAATTCTACTATCATTCTAGTTGATAACTGTTACTAACAGCCTGTTAGTTTCTAGTTAGTTATTTTGCATACCTTTTCTGTACAATTTCGATTTGCAATTCATCCCTCCTTTGAGCATGTTTGGTTAGGCTTATAAAAATTTTTTCTTTACTTTTTCTGAGGATTACATATGTAACGAATAAAACAAGCACAATTTAAGTTTTTTTTATTGGACATTGGAAACAGCGGCCATTATTCGATAGAACAAAGGTTCAACGGGCATCCATTGAAATTATGAAAAAATCAAATTCAAAAGTTTTTTGGAAAAATGACACGACAAAATAAAACTAATAAAAATGGAAGGAAATATAAAGAGATTGTTTTTTGTGTATTGTAAATATAAAGAGAAAGAGTGACTTAGTTTTTTGTGTATTGTAAACAATAAGAGAGCGACGAATCTCCTTGATAAGAGCTCATTAACACGTTAAAACCAAAATAAAAGATACGATTAAGATTAAATAATAAATTCCCCGGTAAAAGCGTATATTAAAAATAATGCGGATAACGTATAAATTCGGTCAAATTTACCTTTTCCCCGTCCGACCGGTCAGACGCTTTTTTACTTTCAAACTTCAAACGGGCGACTCGTCGGCACGGATCGACTTTCGTCACGAAATCCGCCGAAAACTAGGTTTACCGAACGAACGAACAATGTGCCTCGAAGGATCGAACGCCGCCGGCTGATCGCGTCGAAGGCAGAAACTCGACCGGGATGGAACAGCTGAAGAACGAGATCAAGTCCTTGCTCACGAGCAGCAGGAGGAAGAGGACTTCACTCGACGACTTGATGCGCGATTACAAGGACTTTGTTGGACGTCCTCTTCCTTTCGGACAGTTCGGATGCCGACACCCCGTCGACCTCCTGAGGCAAATGTCAGACGTCATCTTGGTAAAACACTACATAACTATAATACTACTTTTTAAGTACCACATCTTACAAAAAGACCAGTTTTGATAGAATTGATAAAACACAAACTACAAATAGAAAATATTCTATCCATTGAAATAATTTCTATTGTCTTCAGACCCTCCAAACAACAAGCAACGTCAAAAATCCATTTTTGAAATTTAAAAAAAAAAAAAAAAATAGACTACTCTAATATAGCGGTAGGATGTTGTAGGCCCCCAGCTTTAATACTCGGTTTAGGAGATTATTTGTAAACCGAGAGATGCGGTCTGGTGTGACATAGGCTTAGAAAAACATTTTCTTTATAGTGCCATTTCTATCTATATTGAGATCATCTTCAGGGCCTGGGATTTATAAACATTGTTTTCATTTGTGTGGTTTCATTAACAAAATGATCAATCTGCAGATAATCTACATAGGGTTCCAATCTTCGTAGAGGTCTTTAATTATCCCATCCACCACCCCGCCCTCCTGAGAGAGACCCCATACCGGCGGACATCGGCCTCTAGACTGACCTATTTTCTTGTATGGGGGAAAATGGAAGCATAACGCCTTTCTTACGCTCTAAACGAGGGGTACGAGGAAGGAAGAGATCATTAGACGGATGAAAAAAGATGCTGGGTTCACCGAGCTTTCGGTGCTTTATAGTGCCATCATCAGGGCTTACCCAAGAATGAAGAAAACGTTTAATATGAAAGACTAGTACAATTGTTTTGGGTTTAAGGCTATGGAGCAATGGCCAGCATAATACATTTTGATGGTGAAAACGGACATCTTACTGAAATTTGACTAAAGGTTCAACTATTTTTTTTGTTCTGACTAGCAATTTCTTTCAGGTATTTTGTGATCACAGAGAATATTTACAAAAATTGCTTTTTTATATGTTTAAAACTAAATTATAGATATTTACAGAAACTATGTACAAAAGATTAAAAATTAATGAGAGAGAGAGAGAGAGAGAGAGAGAGAGAGAGAGAGAGAGAGAGAGAGAGAGAGAGAGAGCGACCCTGACTGATCAATCATGGCAGTCCAACCGGAGGCGACAGGTTTGTCGCTCTCTCTCGTTAATTTTTAAAATGGTGTCAAAGGTGTGTGTACGCTAAAGGTGTCATCTGGGACTACTGATTCCTAGTTTGTTGGTTTTTAGCCCATTACTGCCCAAATTATTTCCCATAAAAGAAGTTTTATATAAATACTAGCTTTCACCTGTGACTTCGTCCACACGAATGATTGTGATGAGATACTAGGAAGTAGGGTTTGTACTTCCCAAGTACATTCCTCTGACTCAATCCTTCTCAAAAGTATTAGGTCGTTGACTTGCTGGTACAATTTCATTCCCTAGGTTTTTCCTCTATGCTAGTTTGCTACTTTAATTCTCCATCAAGCCGTTGCTTCGCATTTGAAGATGATATGGGTGAATGGTTCTTCGTCCTCGTTACATAGTCTGTAAATGGGATCATTGTTATACATGCCCGTGTTGTGTAGATGTTTTCTCAGATGCCATTGACAGGTTAATAGTCCTATCACTCCTCTAAGTCTATCACTCCCCAACTGCAAAAGTGAGTTTGCCAGTCTTGATGAGGGTTGTTTTAGCATAAGTTTACTGCGTCTAGTTTCACTAGATTTATCCACTTCCGCTTTTATTTTATTTGGATCTATTCTTCAATGGAGAAGTCTGTATTTGTTTTTGTTATCCCAAGTATAGGTTCGAGGCCTATGTATGGTCATGTAGATCCTCCTCTGGCCGGTGTGTCTGCTTTTTCATTACCCAAAATCCTTTTGTGTCCTGGCATACAAGATATCATCAGGTTGTTGTGTTTCTCCAGGTTTTGGAGATTTTGGAAGCATTCACTGACTAATTTTGATCTGATTTATTTACACAATAAAGCTTTGATAGCTGCTTGACTATCAGATATTATGAGGATGTTTTGGCCAGTGTAACCTCTTTTAAGATTTTCTAGGGCACAAGTGTTGATGGCATGTATGTGAAGACCGAAGTGTACTTCCCTAATGAGTTTGATTGCTCATATCTTGCGCTTGTACAAAAAACACCCGATCCGGTTCCTTTGTTTTGGAGCCATCTGTATACTATATCATTGTATATGATGCTCTCCTAAGTTCTTCCTCTCCTCTTAGTCTGTTGAGACTTTATAGGATGTTGTAAAGAATGTTTCCAGGATCATGTAGTCAGTCTCCATTTCTAAGAATGAATGTCTGATTTTATTTTATTATGGTTGTGTGCCCGAATTGTTTAATTCCCATCCAATTTGATTGTTTTTGGAGCCTAAATGAGCTTTTCCTAGATAGATAGATAGATAGATAGATAGAATGATAATGTAAGAGCCGGCCTCTTTACCCGTGTACTGTGAACAGTATCGGTCTATTGTGTATTTCCATTTTTTTAATCTTGTGCTCCTTGTTAAGCTTGTCAAAGATCGAAATGTTGGCATGATAAAAAAAAAAAAATGTTTTTTTGAAAACCTACATCACACCAGGACTGCACCTCACGATCTCCAAATAATCCAACAATAGGTTTATCATCCTGCAGACCCCATGAGGAAATCTCTTTATTTTTATTGTCTGAGCAGGCTGAGATCCAATTATTTAAATTGCATTTCCTTCTCATCGATATTTTTTTCTTTTTATTGAAAACGTTTAATTTTAAACTGATTACTCATAAAGCAAAACATAGACGAATTTGTTAATCAAACCTGGCCATATTGCTTTCATCCTTTTGAGCTCTTCACACTGTATTGGATTATAGATTAATGTTGTTTTTATAAAGTGAAAATATTTGTGTTTATCAAACAACAAAACCATTGAAGCCCAAACAAACAGGATTTTTGGTAGGACCTCATAATATAAATTGATATCAACTGTACGATCTAACAAATAACACCATAACTAAAATTAAAAAATTGTTGGAGTCTCCCTACTGATGAATGTGTAGCTCAATCGTTTCCAGTCTTCTCGACTCACCTATCCCTGCATTTAAGCAGTGAGCACTTGCATAATACAATAAAGGAATTATTTGAGGAAGCATGTATCTGTAGACATATTATAAAGCTTCTTGTCAATGTCGACATGCAGTCAGCACTCTACAAATGCAAGATGTCAGCTCTGAATATGTGTATAAAGACGATCCGATATGATCTTTAGAATTAAAAATAGTTTTTATCATTTGGCCAGTTTGATATTTCATAATGATGCTTGAGAATAGGCTATTATTATTACAAAGGATAAAATAGTAATAAATTTGGAGCCAAGGTGGTTAGAGTCATTCGACTTGCATTTGCCACACTAACGGTTCAGGGTTCACATCCATGGAATTTTAATTGGCACTATGTAAAAGGTGTTGTGAAGTGATTTGACCCCTTGTCTACGACCCCAAAGGGTTGAATGTTAAGTCCTGCATGACAGCAATTACTTTACCATAGTAATAAACGATTATTTAATAATCAATTAACAGTCACCAAATACCACGCATTAGTAATAAACTTTATTTTGTCCATTTCATTTTTTTTTCAAAAATCAATTAAGATAAGTTCAACACAAGGGCAAACTCTAGGGAAGATAGGGCAAGCGGGATCAGAGATAATCGATGTTTGATGATCAGAGATTTTTTTTTTAACATTTGTAAGTTTGTTGGGTTCAAATGCAGGGACATTGACTTTGAACCCGGGACCTTTACATTACAGTGATGAGCACCGCGTCAACACTTAAACCGTTGCGCCCACCTACACCCCCCCGCACATATTCTTTAAAACAATAAAATAATAATAAATAATTATTTTAATAACATGCAATATATGATGCAATCACAGCAATTAAAAAAATGTTAGTAAACAAAACATCACATGTTCCTTGTGACAAATATACTAAAAACCTTTAGTCTAATTTGACATTTTATGGTATCTGGCTTAAAACAAATTTAAATTGACTTGAGAGCCTGTTGTATGTTTGTGTTTATATTTGAATTTTTAAATATTTATTTAGTTATTTTTATTTTTAATTAATTTTTTGTAGATACATCATGACCCAAGGTTTGGTTTTTTTATGCAGCCAGTAAATAACAGCCGTTCTTCTCATATATCAGACTTAATCCAAAATCAAAGAAAGACGAGAGGAAGGGCAACCCCTCAATTTTTTTTCAATAGTAAGTCGAATAAATTGAAAAATGTAATCTAACAAGAAGTTTACTTTTTACTTTCCTTCATCTTTTCTGCTATGGCTAATTTTTTATTAATTTAATTTTACGTTTGCTGCGAAGTTTTATTTTATTAATTTTTTAAAAATATTTTTTAATTATTTATTTATTTTTTGAGACGAGAGAGAGAGAGAGAGAGAGAGAGAGAGAGAGAGAGATGATTTTTTGTAAGAGACGCTAAAACTTATAATTTAATAATGTCAATATACCCGAGACAAAGCCTAATATTATTTAATAAAAATATTTTAATTGAGGGATTATGGCTTTACGTACTATGCACATTAGCCAATGCCAGACAATATGTTATGCGTATCGTTTTGGATGGAAGGGTATTGTGAAAAAAAGGCCAGAGGCGATGGCGGGAATTGAACCCCGTCCACGGGGTCTATGAGCTGAGTCTCTCACGCTAACCACTCGGCTACCGTGGCCCCGAGTCAGCCTCTTTATGATCTACACTACCAATGGTCTGTTGTGCATATCCAGTGTTGTCTAAAGCTCCTCATTAACCTTAAGGCTTTTTACCAGACCCTAAAGCTTTTTCAAGGACTCTAGTATGTAACCCTTCAGGTCCGGGGTTTTCCTCTTGCAGGCGTAGGAATCTCAGCTTACATAAGCCTTCATACCAACAGAGGACATGTTCCGTTGTTTCTTTGTCCAGGTAATATTGGCACTGGTTTGTTTCTGCCATGCCTAGTCTATACATATGCTTCCAGTATACAGTGTCTAGTCAGCAGTTCTACCAGCAATCTAATCCTAATGTCCTATATTTAGTAGTTCTGCCATTAGTTTCTGCTGCTCTGAGTGCTGAATGTGCTTCCAGAGTCTACAGTATCTATCAGCAGCCTACTATCATTCTAGTCCTAACCGTCCTAGATTTAGTAGAACTGCCATTTTTATGATGGTCCTTTGACGAACTTTTTCTGATGCCTCTATCCTTGGCAAGTATCCTAAGTATTGAACGGAATACTTACGTTTCATCCACTGTCTGACAAATCCACAATTTGGGCAGTTTGGTATGCTACAAAAGGATTCAGGACTAATAAGTGTCCCCATTAAGCTTTCATTTGCCAGTTTTTGACCTCTTTGTTGCCCATGTATGTGCACTGGAGGTACCCAGACAAACGTGATTTTGTTGTTTTCCCCAATGTCTGACAAGGATGCAATTCTAATGCAACAACTGGACCACCACAAATGCGGTAATTGCGCTCAGTACCTGGCCGTCCGAGTTTCTGCTGTATACTCTACCAGGTATTTTAATTTGAAATTTTTGATCAAATTTGAATTTAGGGGTCATGACTTCAACTGCATCCCCACCCAGCCTGAAGCTCCTCCCAAACCTTTAGTTTCTTCTTGTTGCAAGTAAATTATTCGAGCCTGACCCTATGAATTGTTTAGTGGTGGTATATTCAGGACTTCCAGGGTTTCAGATTTCATTGATGATCCTGTAGTACGAAATTAATTAATTTCATTTCATATGAAATTTTGCTATTTCAGCAGATATAACAAAGTATATATTTTTTATGCTATAAAATTTTCAATATTTTATTATTTAATTTTTAAATATTTATTTATATGTTTTTCTAAACAATAGATTAATATGGTAACATAAACACTTAATAATTTTGACAATATATACAATGTATAGTTTATTTTTGACTTAGGTTTGTATATGTGGTTGAAAATTCAACTTGACCAAAATTTAAATGTGACTTTTTAGATTCAAATTTAAAATATCATTACTGGCAACCCAAACAGAGACATTTTGAGAAGGAAGAAATTTATGAGGGCCTGAAAGAAGAGAGTCAAGACGTAAAATTGGCACCTACGAGTACACAGAGCGAGCCAAACAATCAAACCGAGAAAAAAGTAGAATCTGGCACGATGACGAGTCAATCAGAAAAGTTTACAGCTGGCAGCACTTCTAAGTCGAGCGCCTCAACTGTTCTCCAGCCGTCTGTCACATCGAATTGTGACTCCGGGAACGAAAGCGATCTCATCGCTAAGAAAAAAAACCGTCCTAAAACTGATGCAAACATCTCGGAATTCAGCAGCGTGAAAGACGTGAAAATAGAGGAGCCGGAGATGTCAAAGATTTGCAGCAGGAAGTGTACATACATTCAGTCTGCTTCTTTCAAATCTGGTGCAAAGCAAGGTCCAAATGTCACACCACATGAAAACTCTGATAATTTGTATGATTTGAATGATGTAAGTGATTTCAACTGTTCGCCTTTTGACAAAGTCAAATGTCCTACAATCAAGAGACCTGGTACGTTTCATTTTGTGCCAAACCCAAATGTTGATTAGCAGATCAAATTTATTAACAACATTTGCCTATACTTATTATGCTAAAACATTGTGGATTGGTGCAAGATTTATTTACATTTTTATTGGGACATGATTGATCAGTTTTATTTTTAGAAAATGTCCCTTCTGCTGTGAGCTTGAAAGATGACTTGGAGTAAGTAAAATCTCTATGTGACGTTATGCCGTTTATACTTTAATTTACATTTTCAGGTGTACTAATGATGCAATCAGTCTGAAAATGAAGGAGAACTTCTATAAAATTCTTGAAAACCACCCCGAGGGAATTCCTATGTCGAATTTTTTTTCAAAGTACAAGGTAAGACTGTTTCAGCACTCCGCTTTGAAAAAGTTTTATATTAATAAATTCTGCAGGAAGAATTCGGCATCCCGCTCTCCACATTCTCAATCGGGTTCACTTCCCCACGTGAAATGGTGATGCATTACCCTAATATTTTCGCATACGAAAAGACAAAACTGTGCCAAGAGTGGATTTTATTCGATGCCAGGATTAATCCTAAAAAGCGCACCAAGGAAAATGGTATACTATCGACTAGTAGGTTATTGGGGGGAAAAAATGATTTGAACTGTGTTTCAGATTCAACATGGCTGCCGATAATGGTCTTGGACAATTTGGCCACGATTGCCCAAGATTTCCCTGAAGGTATCAAAGGGGAGGAGGTTCTTAAAAAGTATTCGGTAAAATATCATCTACCAAAATATGATAAATTCAATCATCTGTTTGTAGTTATTTGTTTTTGTTGTTGTACAACTTATTTTTGAAGGAGCGGTACGGGACGGAGATAAACTGGAGTGTACTGGGGTTTGACACCATCTCTTCATTCCTGGTGCGCTGCCCGAGTATAAAAACAAAACTCAAGGGTGATGAGTGTATCGTATTTCCAAAGAACTGGGGGAAGAAGAAGTCTGATACAACCGTAGTTCAGTCAGCGTTGCCGACCCAGGACGAAGTAACCATCCCAATCTTTCATCCTTTTCAACTCTACAAAAGTTTATTTTCAGATGAAATACCTTTGGAAACAATACTTCAAAGAGGATGTCTGCGATCCTACATTCAGTTTTAAAAAGATGGAATTGCCCAATCAACAACACATCAAAATCATCTTCTCTGACATACACTCTCCAAAACTATTTTGGATACAGTTTCACGAGAGCAATTATAAACTTGTTAAACTGATGTACGATCTCAAGTGAGTTGACTTATTTTAATTTGCATTTAGTGTAGAACTGCATTTGCCAAAGTTTTCAGCATATTCTATGATGAGTACGAGGAGGAGTATACACTTGATCATAATGTAATAAAACCAGGTTTAGCATGTGCGATTAAATTTCCATGTGATGAAAGATGGCACCGGGCAAAGATTATGAGTGTCGTCAATGACTCAACAGTCAGAGTAGGTTTTTATTTTGACAAACAATAAAATTTAGGTTAAAATAATTTTTTTTCATTGATAAATATTTATAAAAGGCTGGTTTGGTGCTTTTTAGGTTTATTATGTCGATTATGGCACGGTCATGGATACACCGGTCTCCGATTTGCGTGCCCTCCATAAGAATTTCTCTGAATTCCCCATGTTTGCAGTGAGCGCCACGATGTATGGTATCGCACCTCTGAACGAAAGCGGCTATACGGCGCAAGCCGCCAGCTACCTGTTCGATCAGTTCAGCGGGAAGAGCCTTTACGCTCAGATCGTCAAGGTCAACATTGATGACCCTGAACTTGAGCTGCTCCTGTGCGACACGTCTAAAGAGCAAGACGTCAACGTAAATGAAATGATGATCAATAAAGGCTTCGCAATATGGTCAGCTGCAAAAGTAAATTTCTATTCACCTAAAAATTATTTAAATTAAATTAAACCATATTTGCCTATAATTGACCATTTAAATATTAATTAATAATTATTATTCTTTTTGTGTTTGTTTTACTTGCATTACAAGAACATCTCCCCTCCCTTTTTTTTTTAAGTTTTGAGGTTGTGAACACATTCAATTCTGGTCGGAACTTCAATTTATAATCTCCTGGACAGCAAATTTATTTAAAAATTATTTTTCTATTTATTATGACCTGCCTTCTATGTGGCTTGGGAGTTGGGAACAGTTTGGCTCCCTCCCCTGAAGCTCAGCTTCATTATTTTATTTTTTTATTTTATTTTAACGGATTTGGGTTTTCTAATTGGACATGTGTCTAATGTTGGAAAATACTGCCTAGTTGGTCAAAGCTAGAGAGTCTGGAAGCCCTGGCACCATTAACCAGAGAGAGAAGAGAGACGCACCATTAACAGTTTTTTTATTTTGTTATTTTAATTGGCTGTCTCTTTACTGAGAGGTCAGCCTCATTGAACGTGTTAAAACTAATTTTAAAGATTAAACTTCAGTATATTTAACTCAGCAATTTAATTTTTTTTCACCCCCAACAGACAGTCGTTAAAAAAGAGAAAAGAGAAAGGATCCTCGACGAGTCCTCAGTTCAAATGTTTTACCAGGTAAAAAAAAAACTTTTAGGAATTTCCGAGCGTCATCTTTATTCTCGATTATGTAGTTGTTTCCAGGTTGGCTGTACGAAAGTGACGAAAACACCACAAAAGATATTTCCAATGCCACAGACGTAAATTTATTTTCAAATTTTCAATGAGGGTTTTTTGTTATTATGATTCCTACAAAGTTTTTTTTCCAGGCACTCGACACTTGTGTTAGAAATGAAATAGCGCCGCTGAACCTTGAGAATTTCTCATGCTGCAAGAGGCACATCCTCAGAGCGTTTTTTCAAAGCAATCCAGTAAATAGAAAATCTATTCAATGAACCAGAAATGGTATTTTTAATCCTGATCGATTTGTTAGGTGAAGATGTGCAAGATGTGGAATATGATAATATCCAGGTATTCGACCCAGCTCGAAGACACCTTGCTTAACACTCTTCTAGAAGAGATCGACGCAAAAGACTTTCAGGATAAACTGCTCCTAAGGTCGTGTACGAACGGAAATTCAAAAAGCTCAAAGTCCGAATTGAAAAATTGTTTAAACACCCAGCAGGTTTGTTTATTTATATTTATATTATATTTATGTTTATATTTTAAACAAATTGTAAGTGTTTAAATTTCTTTCCCTCAGGAAAATTTCGTTCTGGAGGAGAATATGACATTTTATAATGAAAAGAAGAGTACTGATAATAGTAACGTTCACATAGAGAAGAAACTTCAGTAATATCCTTTTATTATAAATTAATTCTTCTAATCTTTACATGCAACATTACATATTTATTATTACTACTTTTTTTTCAGGCAACACCGTGGTGATTTAAATACTTCCCAAAGAAAGAAACACCGTAAAAAGAAAACAATATTAGAGGCTGGTAAGTTTTTATTTATTTATTTTAGGCTGTAATTTAATTTATATTTATTTTAAAATATATTAGATACATTATTATAAACTGTTGCTGGGTTGAACCTACAATTTCAGTTTTCTACCAGGCAAGTTTCATGTCTATATTTATTAGGTGGCTTTGGTACTTTTGATTTTCAGAAGAAAAAAAACTTTCAAAATATAAATGTATTTTATTTTTAATCCAAAACATAATTTCCTACGTTTTCTGTAACATGCCAATGTTTTGGTGGCAGAGATATCCCGTTTTTGTAAAAGTCTGTTGACAGATGAGAAGAAATCGGTATGTCTGATTTTCAGAGTGTTTACATTCAAAAATTCCAAGAGGTCGTCTTAGTGGAACACGTAAAAATCGGTTTCCAGCGTAACTCGGAGATTTTTCTCTGAGTAAATGCAGTTGTGTGGGGACTGTCGATGTTTCGTCTATTCACCAGTGCTGAACGTTTTTTCGTTCAACGTTGCCCCAAAACTTTCTAGCTTGACACAGTGTACTACTGCCGTAACAGTTTGGTTGTGCATGGTTATTAATAAATTATTCCTAGAATGTCACAAAAACCTTAATGAAGATGCAATCCTGCTCTTGACGTCGACAGTGGCGTTTCATTCTTTTTGAAAACGGACCTACAGCATTTAAAAAATTTTTAAAAGATTAGTATCAGGTTCCATTCATCTAAATAATCTGATAATACTTTTGAGTCCAGTAAATACAATCCCATACATACACCTGCCTGGGTATAAAATTGATTTTTTAAAATCATTTTAACCTGCTTGTCTGTCAACCTCATCTCAAAAATAAACAAAATTCCTTCAATTACAGTAGTAAATATTTATGAATTAATTCAACAAAATGTAATTGCTTTTCACCCACACATCCACGTACACACACAGCTTCGACAAAACAGCTTTTTATTCTTAATATATTGTCAATTTTTCTTTTGTTTTTCTTAAAATTGTTTCAGAGGGGAGGAAGTAAAGTGTCTTTTGACTACGCCCAACAATGTTTAACCCAATTAAAAGAGTACTTTTATTACTTGCCGACCAATTTATTGTCCAAACCAAATTTTTACAGACTTAAGAAGAAAAAATTAACCCTAAAAAAATTTGTAATTTATTTAATTTAGTTATTCCATTAGTTCAAAATTATAAATGCTATGTTTACAAATAAATATTGTGATTTGTAGGATTAGATTTGTTACGGGTAAAACAGCCCACTTGATGATTTCTTAATTAGTTCAAAGATAAAGTATTTATTTTTGTTTAATATCATTGACATGCAATTATTTATGGGGGACCGCGGTAGCCGAGTGGTTAGCATGAGAGACTCTCACGCCGCGGTCGTGGGTTCGATTCCCACCGTCACCTCTGGCCCTTTTTTCACAATAAACCCCCCCCCCAATTTGAACATACTATTTATGAAATGTTTTCCCTCTTTATATTATTCAGGTTTCACTTTACAAATTCATTAGGGTTGATGTTCAGTAACGGGTGGTTTTTTTTTAGCTTCCATGGTGGTTTTTTGCGAATCCATTATATTACAAAGTTGGTCCATTTTTTGCCAATAATTTTCAGACTTTCAGGACCTTCAGTCAACCAACTTATCACTCAAGGGCTTTTTACAAGCAACTTGTCCATGCAACATTAAGACAATTCTAGTGCACGCTAATGCTACAAGTTACATGTTAAAGTACAGACTACAGTGTGCTATAATTTTAAATCCAGTTGATGAGAACCTGCTAACTTTATGTTTTACGACGTTCTGATTTTATTTGTTGTCTTTTGTTTGGCCGGTTTGTTTGGATAAGTTATTTGATGGTAAGTCTAGAACATCCAAGATCTATACTTACAGGAATGATCAATGTTTAGCAACGGGCCAAAATTTCATATTTTACACAAGCCGAAGGTTGTGGGTTCTAATCCCGCTCATGACACTAGCTTTTTCATCTCAACCTTAAATATATAAAGTATAGTTAATTAAAATTTTACACAAGGTTTGACTTTTGATTCGTAGCTTTCTTTCCTGCATGGTTAGAGATGGTGTCATTTCAATATTCTTTAGCACCAAAGGCTTGAAAAGGCGAATAACAAAACCCATTTCATAAGACTGTAAAATGGCAATAACCCGTTCCACATTAAGTCAAGCCTCGTTAGCCATCTTTTATTAGCGATTTTATTTATTTTTTTAATTTTTTTTAATGCATAGTGGACACAAAGTTGTTAAGTACAGAACTTTCAGCTCCGTCTAAAATGTCTCTAGTTCTGTGAAGTGTTGAATTGTTCATATTTTGCTATGTCAAGTCTTCATAAGCGGGCTTTTGCGATTCATTCTGTTGTAAAATTAGAACTGCTACATATTATGCCCCGCCTCCTGCAGTTCACATCCCAAGCAACTGGAACCCACAAGAGGGATTATAAAAAAATAAATAAAAAGCTCCATAGCTGTCAAGCGGAGCGTGCACATCTTTTCATTCAACCCCCTTTCATGCCCGAGATAAAATAATAATAAAAGGCTGTGGCCCTTTTGAGTGGGCCATTGTCGCAATAACGGGGCAATATTCGGCAAATAACTAGCCGGTTAAAGCTGAGACTAGGCACTAATAAAACGAAACAAGAAATTATAAGACTCCAAATTTTTTGGGTGATTCTATGCTCCAAAATATCAAACATATATCCGCCACTTCTTGTGAATAGGCCCTTGTTTTACCAAAAATTTTTTTTGAAAGTTGAAATTTTACGTATTTTCATATTTTTATTTCGCCTTTCTACTTGCTCAGGTGAATGTCATTTTACAGCATTTTTTATGTAGATTGCAATAAAAATACAGGAAATAAAAATGGGGCTATTTTTGGAAGTACTCACTACTAACTCCACTTTTAAAACTACTTTTGCTGATTCCACTTTTCCAATAACGTGTTTGTTATAAATAGACTTAAGGAAATTTTTTATGAATTGACTTAGGGGTTAACAAAGCTTTTTTAAAAATCTAATTTTAGTCTCAATTAAATGAGCATTTTTTTTTCTTTTCTTTTAAATTAGGGTTCGCAACAGCAGAGGTGATATCAACCCTTGGGTTGGCGGTGTTTTTGATAAAAAGTCCATTTGTGAGTATGTCGGGTTCAAATGCAGGGCCACTGGATTCGAACCCTGGCCCTTTACCTTACAGTGATGAGCGCTGTGTCAACGCCTAAACCGTTGCGGCCACCGAAACCCCAAAGCATAAATCGTTATTTACGGTATTAAAAGATATAATTTTTGTGTATTCATTTGATTATTAGTTAACATAAAAATTACTATCTACAATGCAATGTGTGTATATTTTCAAAAACAGTCCGTAAGCCAAGTGGGTCAGAAAATAGTCAAAACTTGGATTTGACCTCATTGTCGTGATTCTAGCATTATAAAACCCTTACATACCACAATTTTGCAGAAATTGTTATAAATTAATTTTTTGACTAATTATTTCGAAGACCTTCTGCGTGACTGACTTCCTAATACAAGCTCTAACATCATTTTTCTCAAAATCTAGGAGACCGATTTTCATGGTTGGTAATTCGTTTTAAAGAAATTATCAAGTACATTTTATAACTCTATCAAATATTAAAATCAGACTATTATTATTTTTATTTTTTAAAGAGGTTAATTTCTGCCAAACAATTGTGCTGTTTTGTATTTTAGTTCAAAAACTAAGTTCCTCTTTTCAAATGGTCTGTTTGACGTTAACAATCCTTCTAGCCATTTTTGAATTTTAACCGTTTCAATCAGATATTCTGGTAATGACTTCATCAAAAATCAGACAATTTTATTTAGGGGTAAAAATTTTTTGAATTTAAATTCAAACCAAAATTTATGACTTGAAAAATATTTGCTTTTTAGAAATTTTTTGGTTATTGATAAACTTTGTTGGCTTTTCTATTTTTTTATTGCAATCTACATTAAAAAAAATGCTGTGAAATGGTATATTTACTTAGTTGATTTGAGCAAGTAGAAAAGCGAAATAAAAATATATGTGACTTAATTTACCTAATGACTTGAAAATATTTGCTTTTTAGAATTTTTTTGGTAATTGATCAACTTTGTTAGCTTTTCTATATTTTTATTGCAATCTACATTTTGAAAAAATGCTGTAAAATGGTATATTCACTTGTTTCAATTTCAACTTTCAAAATTTTTTGTTTGGCAAAACTAGGGCCTAATCACAAGAAGTGTGTATACGTGGAGTTTCCTCGAATTTACTCTAAAATATATGGTTAGGTTTGAACTTAATTGATCCCAATGAAACAACCACGGGCGGTTATTATCCGCACTGCCAAGCTGTAAATAATTTTTGATTCACCTCAACTTATCTATATACAGTCAGAATCACATTTAAATAATCGTATGTCAATGAGGATTATCTTTAAACAATTTTTTGAGGTTTAAGTCATCGCTGTAGTTCTTGTGTTACCACAGTGTTGCTACTATAAATTTTAACAGTTTTAAAAATATTGTTGTACTTTGATTTGTAATGTCCAAATACAATGTTGAAATTTGAAAAGTTAGTATTTCAATACAAAATGGCCTTGTTTGTCTTTTCGTTTTGCCAGAATGGGCGTTAATTCAACCCCGGTCGAAATTTTTTTTTTTTAATTTTTATTTACCTCCGATAAGGTAAAGTGAAGTTTGATGTAGCCCATGATGGTTTTAGAAAAATTAAGTAATCCAAATTGTACACGGACTAGGGTATTTTTGGACAGTTTAATTCTTGTACTTTAGACATTCAAGTTTAAAAACAAAAGGAATTTGGATGTGTGAATTTTCTTAGGCAAGGAAGGAAAAAAATAAGGTAAGCCTTTTAAGGATGGCTTAATTTTGTGCTTTTGCCTGAATAGATTTGCTTATTTAAAAGTATAGCATGTGTAGTGTTAACATGGTTGTATTTGCTCTTAGAAAAGACGTTTGGTGAGTGTTGAATGAAAAATGAATTCAAAAGTTTCTTTTTGATGTCTGATGCTTTCCCTGCATTTCGTTTAAATAATCCACAGGCTCAGAGTTAAAAATGCACATTTTTTTTTACTTAGTATTTTATTACATGGTAAAATACAGTTGGCGACAAAATTATAAACTGCCATACCTTTCTCTTTTTTTCATCCTTTTTTAATTCCAAGCTTGGGCATTTGTTTCTGCTGGGTACTAAATTTTAAATGAATTATTGAAATTTTAAATATAAATACTTAGGTGCTGAACACAGTGGTATTTGGAAAAAAAAACAAAACTAATTTTCGATATTCGCTGGTGCAAAATGTTCTGTACACTCCAAAAATAACATTTAGATGTGATAACGCTGGCATTTTTAATTTGTTTTAAACTTTGCTTTAAAAACTATTACTACTTCTATCTTATAATTTTAATGGAATCATAACAAACCAAAATTACCAAAATTCAAAATAATTTTGTCGTGAACTGTATGGTGTTTATTTATTATTCGCTGTGCACCTCTATTATAACTTTTTGTGAAATTACATGATTTTTAACAAGTATCTTCTCATGAATGTTTCTCCGGTGCAGTAATCGATGATTCAGGGAGCAAACTTTGCCTCGTACTCTTCAAAAACACCGTGTGCGTCGTGTATCAGCAGCTGATCAGCCTTTTTGCCAAGGGCGTCCCCGAGAAGCTCATCGATCACAGGCTCCAGTCCCAATCTTTGGAACCGGATTTGGTGCAGATTACGCTCAAGGCACACCCGACCCTTTACGAAGAGATTGGAAAATTGTTAGTACGCAAAGTCACTAAGCACAAAATGTGTAAATTTGTAATTGTTTTAATGCTGACCAATATGTTTTTTCCTTCAATCAAAACTTATATCATAATTCCCTTCGTTTTAGCTGCCCGGCACAAAAGAGGGACAGGAAAAATCTCTATCTCCTCCCGTTGAAACAGGCGAGAAGGTTTTTGGAAGTAATCGCACCAAGTTTTAACAAAAGACCTTATGAAACTATCGAGGTAATTTTGTAACGATCATGCTTTAAAAACAAATTGATTTAACGTGGGTTTTTTTCTTAGCACCTTGCCAACGATTGTCACCCGGATCATGAGTATTGGTTTGAAACGGAAGAAAATTAATGTAAGCTAGCTGTTTTTTTTAACAAACTATTTTCCTTTATTATAATTAGAGTTGATCATTGCATTTGTTTAGAGTTTTCGTGGTGTAATCAAAGTACTGGTTTTAGCCAGTAATTACAATTGTTAACAATTCAGACGTAACCGATCATTTGCCGACTGAGCACCCATTGATATTTCTTTTGTATTGTTTATTTAACACTTGTACATTTTTGTTAATATCTTTTATACATTGTAAACTCTTTTTTTTCTTTGCTTTAACAAAATACAAACTTTTTCTTTGTATGTGTTAATTGATTTTGTAAAACACACTCAGGGGCCGTTACAGTTATGGCGTGTACACTAAGGAAAAGATCCTGGGGTTCTCAGACCCTTCTAAACAAAAACAAAAAATTACACATCCCTATGCCCATTCTAAAGAAACCTTAGAAAAAAAAGAAAGATGGTATGGTGTGTAGATTTTTAACAGAATCACTTTAAAATATTAGTTCTGAAACATCAAGCGAAATTGGAAAAAATTAAAGATTTTAGAAATAATTTTAATTCAAATCTAAAGGCCCAGCCAGATAGAAAGCAATTTACAACAGCCAGAAGTGATCCAGTGGTCATTGTCGCAGTCTGAGATATGGAGTTGTCACAAAGAATTGAGATAAGAGTGGTTGAGTTTAATCTTTTTCATCTTGAGAGCGTACAATGTTTTCTCACTTATTTTTATTTTATTTTTCCTTTTTTCTGTTGTTTTTGTGTATGAGTTGCTCTACTTCTATTAGCAATTTTGCAAGAAAAATTGGAATTCCAAGCAATTATTTAAATATTTCTGTTTGATCTCTTATTTTAACCACAAACTTAATCTGCATCTCAGACAAAATCAAGCCAGAAGAGTAAATCATGTGACAGGATTGATGTAAAGTGTGCAGTACAACCAGGTTACCAGAGCGCCTCAACCAGAAATTGCTTCCCAGTCAGATAGATTGTGCTCTTTCTGGTGAGGTCAAAAGCGAGGAACACACCTGACATGATATGGGATGTGACCCAAGCCACCCTGCGCCAATCTGATCGTCCACTTTTCCGTTAGGCTGTACTACCCCAGTGCACATCTGTGTGACACCACGCAACGCTACCATACTCTATGTTATGCAACACAATCAAGTTACCCATTGGCCAAATTTTCATTGAGTACAGTCGAAAACGAAAGAATTAAACCCGCTTTAAGCAATATTAAAATATATATTTATTACTAATCATTTCAAAATAAACATGGAGGGCCATCTTGTAGTTACAAAAAGCATACCCCCTTACGAATCTCTATCGGACATAACTCAGAAACAGTCGATCATATCAAAATTTTCCTTTCAGAATAGTGGCATAAAATAAGCTCTAGAATCGAATTGTATATAAAAATATGAGATTCTCTCCCAGCTAAACGAGAATGTTATGTTAAATCTGTTATCCCCACGCGAGCAAAATTAACTTGGGGGTTTGTACAAGGTCATTTTTTGCTAAAGTGATAAGTTTCCGAATTGAACGGGTGGACTGTATATATATTGTTACAAATGGAAAATAAGAAGGAAACAATTGTGTGCTGGGGTGATCAGATTTGGCCAGAGACGAGGGTACCCCGACGTCTAAGCTGCTTGAATTCAGTGTGGATGAGTTGGATGAAAAAAGAGAACCAAGCTGTGACAGGAGGAAGGACCTAGACGAGATTCATATTTTTATTTCATTTACACAATTTTGTTTTTTGAAACAGCTTGTTTGGTTATTTTTCCTTTTTTTATAAAAATATGGAGGACATTGGAATTTTATTTCTCTTGTACTTTATTATTATTCATTTGAAAATTGGGATGTTTGGTCAGAGGTCAGGTAGATAGTGAATATAAAAAAAAGAAGAAAAAACTATGTTTTTAAGTATGCCGACATTTTGTCCAATTTATTGACATCCTCAAGGCGAGAACTAATTGGGATTTTCCTGTCAGTTTTATTGGCAGTATTAATTATTTTAATTAATTATACTTTTAAACTAAGGTCTTGGTTGAGATGGAAAAGCAAATGCCATGAGCGGGATTTGAACCTATGATTGGCTAAATACACCTCTGCTTTAACCACTTGGGCTGTTGTGAGCTGAAGATCGAGAATTCGAATCTCGCTCATGACACTTTTTCATCTCAGCCAAAAACTTTAGATAAAAAGAATAATTAATTGGAATAATACAGAAGTTGTAAAACCCAACTCTAGTCTAACAAAAAAAGCACAAAAAAATTTAACTTAAACTAAGCAGAAACCATAAAAAAGAAACAATAAACATAGTGAACAACCAAAGGAGAAAAACTGGACAAAATATCTTCAGTAAATACAGACAAAAGAAAAGGAAAAAATCAATAATACAGAAGTTGTAAAACCCAAGTCTAATAAAAAGGCACAAAAAATTCAATTTAAAAATCAAACAAAACTCGTAAAAAAGAGACAATAAACAAAGTGAACAACAAAAGCAGAAAAATTGGAAAAAATATATACACACACAGACAAATGAAAAGGAAAAGCACAATAATACAGAAGTTGTAAAACCCAACTTGAACCTAATGCAACGTAGAAAAAAAACAATAAACATAGTGAATGACCAAAGCAAAAAAATTGTGTTGAATTTTTTCTTTTATTAGGATGGAAATGTAACGCTCTTCTCAATGCTTATGAATAGTTCAAGAGCTAAGAGTAGATTTTTGATGAAAACCGTAAATAGTGGGGGGAGACGTAAAATGTTGAATATCTGCGAAAGGGTTGAGAATTGGACTGTGGTTCATACGAACTGCTTTGTTGCATTTAACGTGTCTTTGTCGTACAAGTAGCAAATCGCACACAATTTAATATTTAAGCTTCAATTTAATAATGAAAATATAAATGAATTTCAAATAAAATGTATTTAAGTATTCTCTCAATCATAATTGACAGTATTAATTATTTTAATTAATTATACTTTTAATCTAAAGTCTTGATCTAGATGAAAAAGCAAACGTAATAAGCAGGATTCAAACCCACGATCGGCTAAATACACCTCTGCTCTAACCACTAGAGCTATTGTGAAATGGTCAAGATTAAAAGAATAATTAATTGGACTAATAATTTTTTTTTCAGGGGTGAGGTAAATGATTTAATTTGTCATTAAACAAGGGGCTCGAATTATCAGCAGTATGTTAAGATATAATAAAAACTGACATGATTAATACAATTTTGGGCCAATTTGTCTTTTTAAACTATTTTAGGGGTTTTGATATGGGGAGGAAACATAAAGAAATCAATTATTTCTGTTATTGATCACTGTTGTTTGGTGGTTCCCTCGACAATTGTTTCCTAGATGTAAACAAAATGCCAAATGAAGAAAACGTACAAGAGAAACGAGTCGATTGCTCAAACGTTTTTGAAGAATGTGAAAACAACCCTAAAAGCCTGATAGGAAAAGCTTACACTATTGAAGGTCTAGCAATGTTTTATTTATATTACTACTAAGTTATAATATACTAAAAATAATTTTCTTAGATGTTAAAAATGTTTGGGAACACCTATCTGGATGGATAGTCACTTGCTTAAAGAACAGAAAGGTGCGAGGCATGGGGAAAGTATTACAATATACATCACATAAAATAAATTGGTTCATATATTACAGAGTGTTATAATAAAACAACTTGGTACATTTACATTAAGTCAATGGTCGCTGGAGACAGGAATAAAAAGAAAATTGACAACTTCAAAGCCGATATTTGTACTCTCGAAATCCCTCCAGGATGATTTTTATATCTATCAGATCAAACACTACGTTGACAAATCCGTAAGTGAACTAGATGTACAATTTTTCTTCTTGATGTAAAGCTTCAAGACAGGTTCCAGTTGCAGTAATCAACTATTGTGACATCGCAGAAAAATGCAACTGCAGTAAAGAAACAGTTTTAAACTGTTTGGATGATGTTGTGAAGGTAAAAATTAAAAATAATAATAAAGATGTCTTCTTTGATAATGAGATCATTTTTGTTAATTTTAGTGCATAAGAAGGCTCCTTTATGAGAACCGTAGTCTGCTCCTTGAAATGTTGAATCTCGGCGTTTTCAAAGTGCAGGGAGGTGAAGCTGAATTTGTTTTCACCAATGAATGCCAATCGGTGCTCAAAGAAACAAAGCCATATTGTTATCGCTTCAAACAAAGTTGTACACCTTATCATCCCAAGAGAAAAGTCCCCTGCGACTTTCACTCTTCCATCAGACATATAGTAGAATAAATAAAACTGCCACAATTCCCGTTATTTGTCAACATTACCATACTCATCGATCAGAAGTGATAACTCCAACTCCTTGAATCGCTTTTTGCTCACGACTTTGAGCCACGGCGGCAGTTTGATCCGTCTGAGCCAATCCGCAGTGGAAACGTTGGCGCAGACCAGTTTCATCATCGTCGGTTTTTCGAGTACGACTTTATCAACAGCGAGAACATCTTGAGTGCAAGGGAAGAACTTTTCCCAACTTCCATCCTTGCACGCACTCAATGCTAATCTGTTCAAAATCAGTTTCTCCTTGAGAAAATCTTTCTCGGTGAAAGGTTCCTCGTTTCTTTTAGATATGTACACAGGAAAGCTCTTCTGTTTTTGCATTTTTGCTAACTGAAAAAGAAAAGACAAATACATCTAAAGACAATTTAAATTTAACTTAAATAAATAATAGAATAGTTAATACTAAAAACTAATTTTTTCCTTGATATAACTTAATACAGAATGAACTGTTATGTTTGATCTCATTCACTGTAAATTTATTTAATTTCATTACACTTGAAGCAAGTTTCTACAATGTAAATATATGCTCATATTTGTCAAATAATTAAATAAAGTCCTGATGAAGAGGATATTGTTTCTCGCAAGCTTAATGAAGGAACTGAGTATTTTCATTCCAATTGGCTTTATTCTCAAATGTTTAATATTAACTATTGAAGGCTGATACTAATTATACTAAAATGTTTTTTTTTTTAATTGATTTTTCAATCTGCATTCATTTGATGCAATAAGCAAAACAATACAGTAATCTCTTAACACCTGTAATTTTGACATTTGCGGTTTTCACTATTCACATATGAAAATGAGGAAAGTTTGACATTTGTGGAGGTCTGATTAATTTATTTGTCAAAAAAAGATAAAAAGATGCATAAACAATTTTATTTTAATTTCGAAAATACTTCTTTAAAAATGTATTGGAGGCTCTAATTAACTCTCAGAAAACGTTTGCATGCTTTCAATGCCTTCTTTCTTCTCAGTTTGTTTTATTCTCTCATGGAAGTTGTGTTGCAAAATGGAAAAACCGTACTGACCCTTGGTGAAAGAATAAAATTTTTGGACATGTTACATTTTTTACGGAGGCCAAAGCTTTTCTTCAAAACTACTCAGGGGAATTTTAAGCTTGAGGGACGAACTTATCAAAAAAGCAATGTATTTTGACCCAGCTTTAAATCAGTTTTAAGTTTAAAAGGGATGTCGAGGCTGCTGTAATCCTTATGTGGAAATTCTTAAGGAAATTAATTAAATTGCAGTTTGGAGGGACTGCGGTAGCTGAGTGGTTAGCATGAGAGACTCTCACGCCGCGGCCGTGGGTTCGATTCCCACCGTTGCCTCTGGCCCTTTTTCCACGATAATCCCCCCAACTTGAACACACATATAAGAATTGTCACCATGGCTAATATGCATAGATCATAACGCCAAAAAAACAAAAAAAAAAACAACCACTTTTTGCCTTCCATGAATCTCTCCGCATGCCTAATACCTGCGGTACTGTTCCACCAATTTATTGTTGTTTTTTTTTGGACTCATTAAGGATACATTTTATGATATATACTCTTTTGTGGAAAGATGGTAAGCCACAGTAGGGTCAGGACCTAGAGAGTCTATGTTGGCTCCATCTTTGGCCAACATGTCAACCTTTTTGCTGCCTTTATGCCCCGAATATCCAGGGACCTATGCCAGGATGAGGTCATTAGTGTTGCGAACTTCCAACTAAAGTTCCAAACACTCTTTGCCTTCATCTCGCATGAGGCTGGGGCCTTTAGTGCTGCCTGACAGTCAGAGAAGATGGCTATCTGCTAGCAATATATTCCTAGCCTTTTTATTTCCCTGGCACGGTGTTCAATCGCTATGATTTCAGACTGGAAAACTGTAGCATATTCACCTAGGTTTTCCGTCAGTTCGGTTCATCCCAAATACTCCAGCCCCCAATCCCTTGACGGTTTTAGAGCCATTCAGTGTACCAGTAGGAGTTTAGGAGCTGTGTACTTTTGGCCCATTCTTCCCATCAAGAAAATGAAGAGGCAAAAGGTGCTGCACTAGAACGAAGTCTTCAACCGACGTTTCACCAAGTTCCTGCAACTTACATCCAGTCAGCCCTAAATCGGGAAATGAAAGAAAAGTGGAAAGAAAGAAATATGGGCCACTTCCATTAATGGATACCATACAAAAAGTTCTTTCCAACCATCTCATGTGAAAGCACAAATTCCTAATCCTTAGAAGACAACACAAGTTCTCAGCAGTCATGAAAAAAGCAAAGTTTACTTGAAGAATGAAATTCCCCAATCCTGGGAAAACATCGTTCCTGGACTGCCCAATTTTTGTGCTGAGTTCTCATTATTAAATCTGTCATAATTCCTTTATTCCCTTACTGTAGCGTTATTTTTTCACTTTCTTTAGACTCTCAATCTGCTCATCGCCTTCAAATTACTTATCATTCCTGCGTTAGATACTATTATGATATTAAACCAAAGGAGTCCAAACATCTTCAGCAACTTAAGATTCTAAGCACTTGCACATGTAAGTGGGCTTAAAGCCTATTTGTGCCTTTAAAATAAATGATATACTGAAATCTTTACCTTTCTTTTTTTGTTTCTACTAAGTTCTGGGTTGATTGTACACAACAGTCCATTTTCCTCCTGAGACTCCGGTACCACTTCTTGATCGGAAGATGTCACTTTTGCCTCTATCGGATGGACAATTTCTCCATCACCAGATACATGTTCGCCATTCGATCCATTGTTGTCTGTCTGGATAGTAACCGGAACATTGTCACCGGTTGGCGGATCAACGTTTTTTTGAGAAACTTCCATATCCTTGACAAACTACACCACTGAGACTTCTAAGGGACAACAATGATGATACTTTAATAGTCTGCAAGTGAAAATAAAAACATAAATAGATAAGAAATATAAAAAATATACAAATAAAAGCCAAACGAACAAGGATGAATTAACTAAAGCCTCTGATTGAAAATCATATAGAGTAATAATAACAAGAGTTTGTCCAAAAACAAACCAACTTAAAATAGGCGGAAGGTAATACGCATGTTATACAACATTATACACATTATACAAACATACTTTGGGCAATAAAAACAATTTTTTTAAATACTTACATAAGTGGATGATTGTTTTTTAAAAAAATTTCGTATTTTAAATTTCATTAAAAAGTATAATAGCTAATTACCTTTACTTATGTCAACTACGAAAATTGTCCCTATTTAAATAATCGATATTTGTTCGGATTTGTCAAACATCGATATTTGGATAAGGTAAGAGACTAGAAAGGCCGCAATGCCCGGTGAGTGTGTAGACCGTTCAACGTTTTATTTTATTTATCTATTTTAAAGGTATAAATAAGGCTTTAAGCCCCCTTACATATGCATTATGTTAGAAATAAATTTAATTTTATAAACATAGTAAAATAATAATAGTAGTGATAATAATAAAACATATAATACATTTTTTGATAGTGTCCATCCTGATTTTGTGGAGCTCCATAGTAAGATGACGGGTGGAAATAATAAAATATATTAAACATTAATGTCAATCATATATTCTTTAAAATGTTTTCTTATATTTTGACCTCAACAGTTAATCTTATGATTCTTCCTTCTTGAAGGTGGGATAATAGGTCATCTCAAAAAACCACAACCAGTTTTTATCGACAACGTTTCGGATTTATTTGAATCCTTCCTCAGGTGAGTTAACGCCTGTACACAGAACAAATATTTTTTACATTTTTATGTCAACATGGTTATCATTATTTCTTCACTACTTACAATGGTTAAAAAAGTTAGGGCGGCAATAACCAATATAATGACAAACTTTCATAATAAAAATAAAAACAACACCTCATTTGACAGACACGAATTGAAAATTAAGAAAAATGTAAAAATATTGAATGAGTTTAGAAAAAATAATGAAGATGTGTTAATCACTAGATCGGACAAAGGGAATAAGACGGTCCTCATAGACAATAAAGAGTATAAAGATAAAATGGAAATACTATTAGGTGATACAAATACTTACATTTTGTCTAGAAAAGATATCACGCCTATTATTCAAAAGAAAAACAATATACTAATTGCTAATTTATTAAAGGANTTATTTTTTTACGAGGGTTCGCAACAGCAGAGGTCATATAAACCCTCAGGGTGCCGGTGTTTTTGAAAAAAGCCCATTTGTAAGTATGTCGGGTTCGAATGCAGGGCTGCTGGATTCGAACCCGGGCCTTTTGCCTTACAGTGATGAGCGCCGTGTCAAAGACTAAACCTTGCGGCCACCGACGCCCTTAAGAATGGAATTTATCAACATAAATACACAGTCCAAACTAATAAAAACAATGAAACTGCCTTGGCACAACATGCAGTTGTTGAAGGTCATACTTTTTTATTTGATGATGTTAATGTTATTGTTACAAAGGAACGAAATAGTAAAAAACGAAAATTCCTAGAGGCCCTTTACATAAAAAAAGATAAACTGTCTGTTAATTACCGTCAAGACTGTGATATGATAAGTGATTGCTATTTTAATTTGTTAAACAATATATAAAATTATTCTAGTCAATTTTAAAACCTGTGATAGTTGTGATAATAATTGTTAAAATATTGTTAATAAAATAAATAAAATTTGTTGTTTAAAAATAGATTTATAAGAAAAATGCAATTTTAACTGTTGAGTGGTATTTTTAATGTTGATTCGTGGGTCTGTGATAAGATGTTGATAAGAGGTCGAACGTCACATGAGAGGTTGTGATAAGAGTCTAGTCAGGTTCAAAATATTAAAACGTTTGTTTCAAGTCTGAATAAGTACCACACTGGCTCTTTTTTTTTTTTAAATAAATTGTTATAAAGTATTAATGACTAACGACCACTTTTTAACCATTGTAAGTAGTGAAGAAACAATGATAACCATGTTGACATAAAAATGTAAAAAATATTTGTTCTGTGTACAGGCGTTAACTCATCTGAGGAAGGATTCAAATAAATCCGAAACGTTGTGGATAAAAACTGGTTGTGGTTTTTTGAGATGACCTTCTTCAAGAAGGCAGAATCATAAGATTCTTTAAAATATTAATTATTTATAATGTAATGATGAAACTGCATTAAAAAAGAAAAGCATGAGAAAAAAATGAAAGGAAAGGGAAAAAGAAAAGGAAGAGGAAAGCAAAGGAGACGGTTCATGTTCATGAAGAAGAAAGCAATTTCAGTGGTTACTGTCAAGCTTTCGACATATTTTAAAGTCATCATCATGGCAAAGCGAACTTAAATATGTTTACTGATTGATTTACTTAAGTTTTTAAAAGGCGTACTCAATTTCCTTGAAGTCGATTCAGTCCCAACATTGCCAAGGACTGTAACATTATTAAGTTTGACAGTAATAACTGAATTTGCTTTCTTCTTCAAGACAAAATCTTGATACGGAGCGTTCGTGAGTGAAAAAGTGGTCGACATTTCTAATGAAAATAGTTCAAGTTTTTAAAAACTCAGATGCCATTGATCTGCAACAAGTCTGCGAGGAAGTAAACCACTTCCCGAGGAAGCGAATTCCAAAGTCTTGCCCCTGAAATTCTGAAGGATAAGGCTAAAGTTTTAGAGGATAGTTGAAGACTTGTGATATGATTGGTGTGTTTGGATAAGAAAAAATTGAGAGATATATTGATATTTAATTGATTTATTTTTAAACAAGTACTGATATTAAAACTTTATAACTGATGTAAAAACTTTATAACTGCTTAAAATGTTAAGTTGATGATGTTAATATATGAAAAAATATTAACCTTTGGTTTAAAATCATAATAGAATCTAATGCAGGAATGATAATCAATTTGAAGGGAAGAGCAGATTGAGAGGTTAAGGAAAGTTTAAAAAACACACACAAAAAAAAAAAAAAAAAAAAAAAAAAGACGCTACAATAAGAGAATTATATTTGGGATTCAATAAGGAAAACTCTAGTTTTCTGAAGAGCGAAAAATCTAAGGCGTCAAAGACCACAAAGGCTTGAGTGACCTTTTTAATAAAAGAGCTCATATTGACATGCCATGTTACCTTGGAGTTAAAAACCCCTAGATTTTAACTTAAGCAAAAAATTAATAGGAGAGCCGTTGATATGAGGAGGTTAGGCAGTCTGTATCCAGGTTTAGGTGTTTTTGAAAAATTGCCCGCTGCGATTATTTTGCCAGTTTTTCTCTAACAAACGAAAAAGAATCGGTTCAATATGATGAATTGTTTTGAATAAAATTGTATCTTAAAGTGAAATAATTCTACTTTTCAGTGAAGAAGTGATTTTCTTATTTAGCTCGAATTTTCCAGTCTGCGGAATTCCCTTCAGCCTTTAAAGGAAGAGTATTAATAGACGATGTTTTTATGTTACTTTTTATCAATTTTCATAAAATTTGGTCAAAATATCCAGAAACACTTTATGAAACTAAAGAAATATCAAGTCTAAAAAAACATTCGAAAAGTATCTTTTTTTTTATTTATCCAAATTGAGTCGAGAGTTGCGAGTTAGCGACTTTGGCCTGTTGCTACTTCAAATTGATTCC